GTGACATACCATGCACTGGCCACCCACATGTACCAGAAACATGGGACAATGTCAATGGAAAGACCTTTTATTCAGTCCACAACATGCGCTGGGTGTTTGAAAGATTTCCACACGACATGGAGAGTACAGCAGCACCTCAGGTATCGGCCCAATGGATGTTGGGACAAGATCTACGGTGCAAGATTGCCCTCCACTCCTGTTACCATCACTCTGGCTCCACATTTGAAAGGTATCAAGAGATTGCCAGCCATTCGCAGACAACATGGACCACTTCGACCAACCAGTGTGCAGCGTCAACGAGCTTCCCTACGACAGCGGATCAGTGCAATGCGGGAGCAAGGAGCAGATGAATATGCATGGTGGTTTCCGTCAACAGCACCAGTACTCACTGAGAAAGCCTGCGAAGCATTCAACCAAGGTATCCGTGAATGGTGCGATGATCCTGCTGCCGAACACATCACATATCAAAATTTGATGTTTGGGAAGATTTTTGCACTTGGTATTCCAGACCTCCAGGGTGCTCGGATCTATATCCATTGGGCAGAGACGCAGTTCTATGACACATGGCCTGCTGAGTTGGATCCTGACCGAGCTCTATGTCTGGACCGTGCAAATGAATTGATGCTGGAGGATTTGCCAACGTGGCAGACTCGTCATGAGATGGCCCGGCTAACCCGACTCTGGGTCAACCTGCCTCCTGATGAGCCTGATATTCCACCACGCCAAGCACCAGCACAATCTCGCCCGTACTGCCGAACACATCCTATTCATCGAGGATATGCAGACCTTCCGGAAGCAGAAAAAAGGCGGAATGCATGGGCTATGTATGGCAACAAAGTCCATCATGCACCGAGCTCCGAAGGGCCATACTTCATCATTCATCTCTATTCCGGGCGAAGAAGGGAAGGAGATTTTCAAGAATGGATGGGGAAGTATATCAACGAAGGAGGGCATCACAATATCTACGTCCTGTCGATCGATACAGCTGTAGATCCTGCTATGAACATTCACTGCAGTTCTCTTTGGCGCTTCCTCATGGACGTGATTCAAAATGGCAGATGCCTTGGTATCTTGCTTGGGCCACCATGTGAAACATGGAGTGCGGCGAGACACCATCCTCTACTTGGACCCGATGATGCAATAATCCATGGACCCAGACCACTACGTCATGGAGAACATCTATGGGGCCTTGAAAAGCTCACGTGGGCTGAGCTACATCAGCTTCGCACTGGCAACATCCTCCTCCTTAAGGGGATACACCTTGCATGCGCTGCGGCTCTGAGAGGCACGCCAGCCTTTGTAGAACATCCGGCCCCGCCCTACGATGGCGAGATGGCCTCAATTTGGCGACTTGGGTTGCTAAAGATGCTCCAAAGGCCACCGAAGCGCCTCTTTTCCAAACTGACAATTCAGCAATTCCGTTTTGGCTCCCCTGGAGTCAAACCGACAACGCTAATGTACAGTAATGCAAGGTTAGGAGAAGCACTTGCCCTCTGTGAAGAACCCAACCCTATTCGGCCAACGAAGCACCTTCTCGGAAAAGAGAATGGTGAGTACAGAACGGCCTGTGCAAAGGAATATCCGGCGAAGCTTAACCAAGCCTTCGCGGTAGCCATTAAGGCCAAGCTGAGCCAATGGAGGATTGCAACATCCACTCCAAACCAGCTTGTCGACACCTTTGGCAAATTTTTGGCAGAGACATCTGCTGCTGCCAGCACTGAGTGCGGCCAGCGCATGCCTGACTACCAACCGAGGTAGCCTGGCAGCTGAATTCACATGACTAGCATGCCATGGCACGAGCGACGACGTTCAGCGGCCAAAAAAAAAATCTTATATTATATATATATTCTTATATTATATATATATTCTTATATTATATATATTCTTATATTATATATATTAATATTAATATTATTATTATTATAATTATATATATATATTCTCATATTATATATACACTATTATAGACATAGTAATGCATATCTATATAATAGTAGATCATAAATAAATAAATATATATATATACAAATGATAATGATAATTGTAATCAAAGGAAGTTGGAAAGCAATCTTCCGAGTTACGGATGACTTTTATCTGATGAAGGGTGGTGTGAGACTTTACATCTGATGACTTTTACCTGATGAAAGGTGGTTTGAGACTTTACATCTGATAACTTTTACCTGATGAAGGGTGGTGTGAGACTTCACATCTGATGACTTTTACCTGATGAAGGGTGGTGTGAGACTTTACATCTGATAACTTTTACCTGATGAAGGGCGGTGTGAGACTTTACATCTGATGACTTTTACTTGATGAAGGGTGGTGTGAGACTTTACATCCTGCAAGGACCTAGGGAAGCAGTGACCTAGGGAAGTGGTGACGAAGGGAAGTGGAGACCTGGGAAGTTGGTTGCATGATTGCTGTCATGTTTTGTTGCCATGTCTGTTGAGACATGGGGTGTGTTTTCGGGAGGAAGCTGGGGCACGAAACCGTGTGTTTTTCAGTGTACAGTGGCTGCAGCCGGCGATGAAAGGTACCTTCGGTGTGCGGCGGTTGCGGTTTGGATCGTTTCAACGCGTATAGTCGGTTTCTCCCTTGGCGTTCTGCCACGCGGAGATGCGAATCGCATTGTAATGGCTGCATGGATGTGTACGTGGTGCTGCGAAACGCATTGTCATGGTGGCTGCATGAATGTTGCATGGGACTTGTGTTGCGGAGGAAGCCGGGGCAGTTGCGGGTACGCTCGTTTTGATGTTTTTGGTTCTCCCTTGGTGTTCTGCACTTTGCGTGTCTTCCTGTGTGCATAGTTCAATGCGATTGTGGAATCCCTCTTTGCAGATCGCGTTGGAATGGCTGGATGACTGTTGTCATGTTTTGTTGCCATGTGCGTAGGGACATGCAGGTTAGCCACGTGATGTTGCTAAACGCATTGTAATGGTTGCATCAAGGTTGCTTGGTGCCGCGGCTGCATGCGTAATACTATTGTCTTTTGCAGCTTGACATCGTAAATCGTAATGGAGTGGCTGCGCCAAGGCTGCAGATTTTCGTAATTTTGGCGCTGGTGATTTTCCTTTTGGAATTCCTTTTAGAAAGTGCTTCAAAATCATTTTTTTTTTTGGGCTTTGGCGCCGGGATGGATCCGGTTTTGGAGCTGCAATGTCTGTTGTCATTATGTACAAGAAAGTTTCTCTGTGTAAAAACTTCTTTGTGAAAAAGCATTGTAGTACAAAGTAGTACTGGGAAGTGCTTTGTGCAAGCTTTGTAGTACAAAGTAGTACTGGCGAGTACTTTGTGCAAGCTTTGTAGTACAAAGTAGTACTGGGAAGTGCTTTGTGCAAGCTTTGTAGTACATAGTAGTACTGGGAAGTTCTTTGTGCAAGCTTTGTCGTACAAAGTAGTGCTGGGAAGTGCTTTGTGCAAGCTTTGTAGTACAAAGTAGTACTGCGAAGTGCTTTGTGCAAGCTTTGTCGTACAAACTAGTGCTGGGAAGTGCTTTGTGCAAGCTTTGTAGTACAAAGTAGTACTGCGAAGTGCTTTGTGCAAGCTTTGTCGTACAAAGTAGTGCTGGAAAGTACTTTGTGCAAGCTTTGTAGTACAAAGTAGTAGTGGGGAGTATTTTGTGCAAGCTTTGTAGTGCAAAGTAGTACTGGGAAGTGCTTTTCGCAAGCTTTGTAGTACAAAGTAGAAATGGGAAGGACTTTGTGCAAGCTTTGTAGTACAAAGTAGTACTGGGAAGTGCTTTGTGCAGTTTGTAGTACATAGTAGTACTGGGAAGGGCTTTGTGCAAGCTTTGTAGTAAAAAAGTGGTGCTGGGAAGTACTTTGTGCAAGCTTTGTAGTACAAAGTAGTACTGGGAAGTGCTTTGTGCAAGCTTTGTAGTACAAAGTAGTGCTAGGAAGTATTTTGTGCAAGCTTTGTAGTACAAAGTAGTAGTGGGGAGTACTTTGTGCAAGCTTTGTAGTACAAAGTAGTACTGGGAAGTGCTTTTTGCAAGCTTTGTAGTACAAAGTAGTGCCGGGAAGGACTTTGTGCAAGCTTTGTAGTACAAAGTAGTACTGGGAAGTGCTTTGCGCAAGCTTTGACTGTAGTAGAAAGTATTTTGTAACGACTCTTCTGTGTAAATGCATCTGCGCCTCAAGCTTTCTGGCGTGCAGAAGAGCCGAGATGAGTTGAGACTAGCTTCGGCGAGATGAGAGAGGTCGAGCTGTGCTCACATGAAATGAAAATAGTTAAGAAGAACCTAGCTGACATATGAAAAGACATGAATTGAGATGAGGTGAGATGAAGTGCGGAGTGCGAAGTGCAAGTGTGAAGTGTGGAGTGCGGGGTGTGAAGAGCGCAGTGCGAAGTGTGAAGAAAGTGCTCACTTGGCGTTGCATTGCACCGGGGTCGCGCGCAGGTCATGTTCTTGGACAGCAGCGCAACAGTTTGGAAAAAACGCGCACGCACGGGCCTGGCTGGCGCACGGCACATGCAAGTTCTATAGATGAGAAAGGTATATAGTATAACCCTAAGGCAACTTCCGCCCCGCCTCGCGTGGGTACCACTAGTATGGTGATAAAATTAATGATCATTATATATACATGTATACATATTGAAAACGTTAGTGACTTGATAGGCCAACTCAATCTAATTCAGATGGATGTTGAATTGCGATATATTGCTGTGATGGGTTTCCTTTATGAGGGGGTGTCCTCTCGGGTGTTTCATATTTTGATGCCCGAAGTGTTACTCGTTTGCTCACCTACCGTATGTAAGATGTTCCAGAACCTGGATTTAGACTATTATATAGATGATACCTTTCCGGATCTTTTGTTCAGACCCACTCTTGGATTCCATGCTAGATTTCTGGTGATCCTTTGAACATGAGCAAATGGAGGTTTCCTGAAATGGAGGTACCCAATCATCCATTTGATGCTGGTATTTTCCACGCTAAAAACATCCATAAATTCGGGTACCCCCATAATGGGAAAACTCAAATTCATCACCATCCCAGCAAGGTGCTACAGGCCGTTCTGCCGCGGAACGCTTCTCTGATTTTGGATCTTTGCGCGGCACCTGGGAGCAAAAGTACCCAACTGGCCCACGACTTTGCCGGCACGGTGGTGGCCAACGAACCAGATCTACCCAGGGCTGGGAAGCTGAGAGCCAACTTCTTGAGAATGGGACTCACGAAGCTTGAAAAACACGAAACATTCAGATGGTGGTTTTGGAAGGTGTTGTTGTTTCCATGGTGCGCGCCCTCCAGCCCTGAAGTCTCTGTTTTTCTTCAATATAATGACATAATAGACTATTGAACAAACAATAACAAACAATAACAAACAATAACAAACAATAATTCCTCAATTATCCTATTCTATCTTTCTATCTATTCTATTCAATTTCTATTCCATGTTCTTTTTAGTCATCGTACACCATGCCAGGAATTACGTGGTAACGTTGCTGGACGGCCGAACATTTGGTGATTTGGTGCCTGAAAGCTTTGATGGCGTCTTGGTCGATGCACCTTGCAGCTGCGAGGGCAACGCGCGGAAAGATGTTTTTGCGTTGTTTCTTGGGTTTCAAGACTATCTGGTGGTGAACGGAGGGAGCGGTGAGCTGAGTGAGCTGAGCTATGGGTATCCATATTCCCTATCAGCCATGGGGGGCCAGTTGGAGCTACGAATAGAGTTTCAGCATGATAGAAGAAACCAAAGTTTCTTGTAAATTTGCAGACTCGGAGTGACTAACATTTGAAAACAAGAGTTGCAGTTTTTTTGTGGATCATCACGATTTGGCTGTTGCAATTCTTTGCTTCTGGATTCTGACATTTCGGGAGTTGTAAGTCTGTATGATTTGGACCCAAAATTTTGTCCCTCAGGTTGCGTGCTGGCGTGCGAGACAAAGAGCTGGAGGAGAAACAGTTTCAGCTGCTGTTGAGTGGTTGGAAAGCATTGAAATCTGGTGGCTACCTAGTGTGCCATGCCTTGAATAGAGCTATGTTGCGGAACCGGGCAATGTTCCCACCACATCCACCATGGATACTCTGGTGCTGACGGCATACATATGGCCCATGGCTGCGCCTACATACACTTTGCAAAAATGTATGGGTTTGTTGGCCTGAGAATAGGATACCCCAATCTTTATTATAATCATTTTCTCATCAACACGGCAATTCTATACAATGGAATCTACCCATCTATCTCTAGACACACCCATATGTTGGTACTGCGAAAGCCTGGTTTGTACTGGTACCATTTGCCGTGATCGGCGATCTGATCTCCTGGTATACCACAAGTTGAAGACAGAATCCTTCGTTCATGAAACGTTGAACTTGCTCCACTAGTGGTGAATGTCCTGCTTCGGCACGAAAGGTATTCAACGTGCACACTCAACAAGTGGGAGAATGAGGGCATTTGCCAGCAGCTACTCAGAAGCGTTGAAGACTGCGAGCGCATTTCATTGGACGATGTGCTGGGAGCTAGCGTGGATTCTTCAGGACAGGGAGCACTAGAACCACCAGTTGCACAACAATTGCGGTCAAATCAGAACCCAAATTCATCAGAGAAGGAACAGATGTGCCCAAGCTCTTCTGTGGTAGGTGGTTTCTCAGCATTTTTTTGCTACTGTAGAAGCTTCCATCCGCAGTATGGGTCAAAATAGTCAAAATCATTGCCACCCAAAACGGATAGCTTGCTATGTTTAGTAATCGACGCACCTACAAAACAACACAAATTCGGGTTTCCATGGGTCTACTCATCTACTCTATGGTACCAAATCCCCTTGATTCCGCCAGGACGTTTATGGCCCCATTCGTTGGACGTCGAAGGCTTCTTTGTTTCCTGCTTCCGCAAGCTGCGTGGCCGGTGCCCGAGGCCGTGCTCGCTGAAGGCGGCGTGGCAGTTGGTGAAGCCTCTGCGGGAGGAGGAGGTAATGCGACTGCAGCAGCTGGTAGAGACGACTTGGAACTTTTGGCCGGGCGATGAGGAGAGATGGGTATAGATGGATGAGGCGGATGATGAGGATGAGGGTGAGGATGAGGATGAGGAGGATGATGAGGATGATGAGGATGATGATGAGGATGATGCGGATGATGATGAGGATGATGGGGATGACGATGACGATCGGATGGTTATTATTACTATTGTAAATAATAAATAGCTCTGAAAGTATAAATAGCTCTGAGCCGCTCCGAGCCGTTCCGCGCTGTGGATGAACAATCCTTTTAAAAATAGTCTGAAACCGCTCTGAACCGTTTGGAACTGTTTCTAAACAGCTAGAACTGATGCTTGGCAGAAGCCGCTTGAAACCGCTTGAAGCGGTATAAACAACGGTTCTATTTTTATGCAACGCTTTATTCTTTGATTTGTTTATATTTTTTAACAAGGTATGTTTAGCATATCTGAAAAACAATACAATATAATACAATAATCACCCTTTAACATAGTATAGCATGATCAAATAAACTATGATAATGTGATATGATGTAATGTAATGTAATGTAATGCAATGCAATGCAATGTAATGTAATGTAATGTAATGTAATGTAATGAACATAAAATACAATATAACTTGTGTGTCTTCTTCAAACCTACCTAGCTTATGTGAAATACACAATCACCTAGGACCTAGCACATACAACGTACAACAGATCATGCAATCTTGTACAACGAGGGTAAAACGCATATTTTATAAATAACTCACGAAAATTATAAATAGTCCCAAGGCCTATTTTTGTCCTCACAGTTAAAGAGGCTGATCCACCTCCCAAATGATTATTATTGTTATTGTTTTTTTTCTTAATTTTGATTTGTCCAAACAAATTAATAAGGAAGAAACTCGAGTGGTGAAGACAATCATGTTCACCATTTTGAATGGCCAATATTTGGGGGTCCTTGGGGCAACTTGAAGCGCACGCATTTTGGGTTCAATGATTTTCATCCCCGGATCATGGAAGGCTTGCTGTTGAGCAATCTGTACAAAATTTTGGATCGATAAAATTGGACAATTACTTTTGCCATGGGTTCCCCCTGCCAAAAGGCACAAATTTGGTGACAACATACAGCTGCAATCCCTCCACACAGGAGCATTTGTGCCACTCAGATGCCACTGGCTCCGTATGGCTAGTGAAGAAGGGGCTTCAAGTGCCACGTGCATTGCTGCCCTACACTTGGGATTTGGGCCTACTGCTTGGTCGGAAAGTTGATGGCCCTGCAATTTGGCTGGTGGCAATGTTTCCTCTGAGTTTCCTTCCACTTGATCGGTTGTTGATTCATGTTGATTCTAATTATCACCGAAAACGGAAACAACAGGAGGTTGCGATTCTTCGATACAACTCTTGTCATCTATCTATTTCCTTTTGGTTTGTTCATCAAAATGCTATCAAAAAACATGCAGGGGAAAACGAAGCAACCACTGAAACCCGATGCAGCTGCAACCTAACCTTCAATCTGTACATCAGAGGAAAACTCTGTTCTCGGGATTGAAGTTGGGACACTTCGCAAAAAAACAGACTTGATTTTTACACTTTTACCCAGCCAAATCAACAGCATGTGACTTCCAAACTTTCCCCATTTTTCCCCTTAAGGTCCCTATAGATCCCTTCGCATCTGAACCTTCGCTGCCCAGGATGGTTTTGAAGTCTCAGATGAGCTGCTACTCTTTGCAGGGCAACGAGTAGCCAGGTCGGGCGGCGAGGGCGCCTGTTAAGGGATGCTGTGATTCAGCCGTTGTTTTTGTTTTTTTTTTACAAGCATATAGATATTATGATGATAATTTCCAACCGCTCTATATCATCATATTTATCATTCCGCAATATTCCGCATATAGCAAATCCAAATTTCCACAAACTTCCAAGATCTGCTCTGAGAGACTGTCACAGCGCACCCTTCGCAGGAGTAAGTCGGTGGAGTGGGCTGGACTTGTGAACCGAGTTGAGTCCAGGGGCAGCGACAAAGTGAAAAACAAGATGCTGCGCCGCGAGCGAACTGAGCTGCAAAACTTCCGCGAACTGAGTCAAAACATGTCAAAACCAAAGGGTTCCCATGGGTTCCCTTTTTGGTTCACACCAAAATAGCCGGGATTTAATCATTTTCATCCCCCAATCAGGGCATCCCCAGCAATCTCCCTGATGACCGACATCACCCCGGAAGGTCAGCGAAATCTGCTGCCTTTCGTGGCTGGGACTTCAGCTGGATGGCTCGTTTGCTGTTCTTCTGGATGTCAAGCCCTCTACTCCCCGAGTTAGTGAAGAGACTAAAGTGACTAAAGCCACGTAAGTCAGACTCGGTTTGTGCTGAGTTTTCATGATTCTACCTTAAATATCCTTAAATCAATCCAATGACCTTGAGAACCAAGGAGGGTCTGAAGATGCCAAAGGCCTGATATTCTGCTGTAAATTGAGCTCGGCAGATGGTGTCAACAGTGTGGAAGTGGCTGGAGAATGCTCCAGGATGAACAATGCCCTAGCTTACACGGGAAGCTACCAATTTAAAGAGTATTTTATGAGTTTGTATCATACTTTATGAGTATCTTTCTCATACTTCAATAGTATATCATATGTTTGTAGAATCATACCTTAATAGTATATTAATGGTATTTAATGGTATTTATATCATGGTATTTTATGGCATTTTTATAGTTATATGTGTCATCCTCCCGCCACAATCTTTGCCGCCCTGTGCCAAGCCGCTCCTTGCAGGAGCCGGTGCTGACAACAAAAGCGCGGAAGAGGGTGGGGCATCCAAGAGGTGGCTGAACATTGCTGGACCTTTACGGAAATCCATGTCCAACAAGATAGAACAGAAAATTATCACTATTATTGTAGGAATTTACTAAACATTCTAGGTTTGAAGGTCACACTAAACTCAAGATAGCAGGCCACCTTTGAGAAAAAAACTCCACCAGCCAATTGCCAGACATCACCAGCAGCAGCAGGAGCAACTGGTCATCTTTCAGCTTCCATTTGAAGTTTCATTCAATAATAATCCATAGTATTCTTAATGTCATCATTTATAATATGCACCTCTATCCCTTTTGAAGTCGTGAGTGAAACAACCTTGCATCAAAGCTTCTTGGGTTCAAATGAGCGTAGGGTGGACCCCTCTAGATTTCATTCGCGAGATCCGTTTTTGGTGGTCGCCATCCGGTTCCTGTCCTTGGGGCGGCATTGCATTCGGCTTTCTGGCCTTCTTTCTTCTAGGCTGCTGCTTGGGGGCGTGTGTGAGCGCCTGTTTGTGCTCGCAATCTTGCAGAAAGGCTGCATTTTTGGCTATTCAATTTCTGGTGAACCAGGGCATTGTCGAGCCCTTGACTGTTAGAGATAGATTGGCCCAATACCAGCCGCGGAGGCTGTGAATGCAATCCTTGGACCCAGAGACTCAGGATATCACTCTACTGTTCTCTGGACTGCGAATTGACCTTAGAGTGACCGTGACACCTCAGCCCGGAGCTCACCGGCCTGAGGTGACTGTGACCCCAACGCCAAGTGGGCCACCGGATCTGGAGCTTGTGGATCGGTTCAACGTGAGCCGTGAGCTGGAAGACCGGCTCCTTGCTGCAACCGGGGTCAGTGATCTGGCCGCGATTCCTTTGCCTTTCCTTACCTTCCTGGAGGGAAGGCTGCACGGGTCCAGTGCAACCTGGACTCCCAAAGCCCGGCTTGCCAGGGCTTTCCGAGCTGGTGTTGCTGCCAGCCGGAGACTCGCAGGGGAGATCCTTGAGGCTTCCACTCCGAGCATAGAGTTCCGGAACTCCATCTACGTGATCCTTCGTTCTCCATCTCTGCCAGCCGGAGGCTGGACCACTGATTACGCCACCTTCATCAATCAGTGTGGTGGGAACCAGTTTTCCGATTTTGATCGATCAACCGTGTGCCACGCCTTTGCCACCCGCACTGAAGCAGAAGCTTATTTGTACGGTGCGAAGAGGGTATGGCCGAACCAGCTTCGTTGAATCGCAGCCCTACTACTAGGGCGGAAGTTGAGGAGCTAGTCAAGAGTGTGACCGCAGCTAGGCCTGCCTCGCTGCCCGCACTATGGCTGCCTCTTCGAGCAGACGATTCAGGAGGAAAGACAGTGGTAGGAGTTTGCTATTTTAGTCCAAGTCAGAGCCGGTGGCTTCATGATCTGCTTCCCCACAGATGTTGGCGATTTTCAACCTTTGGTGGAGAACTTTCAGGTTGCAAACGAGACCGCCGAGCCCGCTTTCCACTCAGGAATGGTCGAGATCATCACCATGCGTGGGCGCGGCTTGGGCCAGGCCGAATGCACCCTGGTCGATCTGCCCTGGGACACCGTCGAGCAGTTCTACAAGTCTGCCGCGCTCCGTGGCAGTCTGGTTCGGTCCATCGAGCTGGAACAGTTCACGGTCGGCGACACAGCGGGTCGGCCTACCGCCAGGTCGGTCATCGAGTTGGCGAATCAGTGGATTCTTGGAGATTTAGATCGCGAGACAGCCGAGGAGTACTTCTCTGCGGGCGACTTCCAGCCGGACGAGGCAGACGGCGACCCCATGACAGCCTCCGAGATAGCTACAGTCGAGGGTCTGAAGGCACAGGTCGCCCAGTTGACTGCGCAGCTGTCTGCTGTCCAGTCGACTCGGCCACCTCCAGTGCCTCCAATGCCAGGGATCGCCACCAACAGCAATCAGCTGTTCCAGGGCCAAGCGCAGACGTTGGGCGCTCAAGACTTGGGTCGTTTACGACAATTGGCAGGCACTCGCCTTCTCGAGTGACGACGGGGGACCCTCGTCGACTGACGTCACACCTGCCGAATGGAACTGCAGGAGCCGACCAGGTTCTAGCCGAGTTCGAAAAGGGTGTGATCGAGGAGGCCGACATGACGCTGGGCTTGCCAGACCTTCAAGGTGTATCCGACCCTATGCAGAAGTTGCTCATCACCCAGGTCCATCAGAACAGTGTGCTCCTGCAAAAGTTTCTGCAGCCAAAAGATACCATGGCAAGCCTTCTCGCCAGCGGCTCGGACAGCGCATCCGGAAGCAGCTCCACCGGAGCGAAAGGCTGTGCAGCTCGAGATCTCTTTGTTCGGCAGATGGCAGACCTGAGCAAAGTCGCCGAAGTTGTGAGGCTGAACGCCCTTGCCGAGCTGGGGATACCGGACTTCAAAGAGGACGGGTTCCTGATGAAGAAGTATCTGGAGCGTCGAGTGCCTCTAGCAGACCACAAGCTACTCGCCCATGTCGGGTGTCTCCTCGCGGAGGGCTGGGCCATCGCCCACCAGTCGAACAATGTGGAGATGAAAGGCTTTCTGGGCCGGGCTCTCATTTTTGTGGAGCAGACGGCACTGGACAGTGGCAAGGTGGAGTTATCCTGGCTGATGAGTGGATTCGCCGATCCAAACACCCAGATGATGTTCTCGTTGAGGAAGACACCTGGCCTCAAGCCGTTTTCAAGGTTGTCGAATCCTCTTTGGGTGTCGGCGAATTTAGCCTATCTTCGAGATTTGGACTATCTGGAATCCAGAATGGCCACTCTAGGTCGAGACAAAGGCAAACCTGCAGCAGCCGCTGCTCAGAGCTCAGGGGAGGACAAGCCAAAGAAGACTCCGAGGCCTCCCAAAAAGCCCAAGAAGGGGGCAGGAAAGGGGACCGATGCAGAAGAGTCGTCAGCGGCCTAGCTGACTCACAGTGCTATCGGGGCCTTGAGCCGCACTCTGCCGATGTAGCCCATGGGTGCTGTCATGATAGCCTTAAACCGAAGAGTATGAGCGCTGCCGGTGCCATTGCAGAGGCTGATTGCAGTTTCTTGGTTTCCGATGTTCCACAATCCACTCATGCATCGCCTGATCATCTTAATTCAACCTTTCATGACCATACTGAGATGTTCACTAATAGGATGAATTTACCCGATCCTAATCCTGCCCCTAATCAGTTGTTTAAGTCCGTTAATTTAATGCAAGCATGTTGTCAGAGCTTTTTGCGCGGCCGAACAGGGCTTTCGCATTTTTGTAGGATCGCTTTGACACCAGATGCCTCCACCATGCAGCAGGCTCCCCGTGGGTCTGCATTGTGGCCTGTCCCACCACCGAGGTGGCGTTGGACGGCGAGCAAGCGTCTTGGTCCGAAGCGTCGTGCACGTCGCCGACGACTCGCTGTGAAGCACCGGACGGTGCAACTCATTGTGAGCGCTTTGAATTGGGAACTTTTGGGGCACCCCACCGTGCCACCTCCTGAAGCCCGTGTCGGGTGGGAGATTACTCCAGCTCAACATCAAGTCATTGAGCATATAGAAGATTTGGTGATCCATTTTGCTGATATGAGTAATTTTACCCCATCTGACTTAGGCAGGTTTTCATCTAAGTGTCAAGACTTAATTAACAGCTTGTTGGAACTACCGCATTGCCATATGTCGGGTGAGGACCTCGAAGCCACTGTAATTATGCTGCATGAAGAGTTTGATCCATACGGTTCAAAATGTTTTCGGAACACCCAAAGTGACCAGCATGTTTTGGATCATCAGTGCACTTTTGCCAGTGCCCCTTCAGCGAAGCCTGTCTCGGGTGCTAAGAAAGTCATCTCGTCTCGCATCAAGTGGGACCACCCCCCGAGCTTCGATGCCGTGCCATATTTGAGCAATGAACTCGTGCGAGCAGCGTTCATCGATCCAGAAGTCCTGAGGTTGCCAAAAGATTTCTGGCCGCGAAGCCGGCCTGCCAAAATGCATTGCTCAAAGGCCGAGCTTTTGGACTTAGCTCAGCGGTGGGATAAATTAGGAGCCCTCAGATTGATGCCTGCTGATGAAAGGAATTTTCGCTGTTCCTAAGGACTACGATCATGACCGGTTGATCATTAATCCCCAAAATATTAACTCTAGGATGTTGTCTGTGAGCGATTTCACGAAAAGTTTGGCCCCTGGCTCCATGTTGTCTTTGTTATCTCTGGAGGGTTCGGAGTGTTTCAGGTTTTCAGCTGACGATCTCACGGATTTCTACTACATCTTCAAAGTCACCCAAAAACGCGCCGAGCGTAACAGTTTCCGTTTCAAATTTGCCCCACATGAGTTAGAGCATCTTGCGTGTTTCAAACCTGAACATCGGGAGTGTGGTGACCTTTTAATTTGCCTTTCATCTTTAGCCATGGGCGACTCACTTGCTGTCGAAGTTGCCCAGCAGGCCCATCACAATGTACTAAGTCAACTTGGTGGGTCTATGGTTGAGAGTGAGGTAGTTAGGTATAGGCACCCTATTCCCCGAGGCGATTTTGTGGAATTGTTGGCTATCGATGATCACGTAGGAATTCAACGGGTATCATTTGATGAACTAGAAACTAAGCCCCCCAAACGTGACACCTTGTTTTTTGCCAATGCTGAACGTGCATATCGCCAGGTTTTGTTTATGACTGCATTGAGCTTTTCAGAGGGTCCGGCAATTGGACCGCTGCGCACGAGCGCCATGGGTTGGCTGTCCACGATGGTATCGATGTGGATGGCCGTCGCCTGCGCGTCGGAGATCTCACAGCAATGTCGACTTTCCAAGAGTTGGCAGCTTTGGCTTTGCGTAGGGTAGTTCGAGATTGGCACGCAGGAGTCCCCTGCCCATCTTTCGGTACACTCAGGAGGCCTCAGGTTAGGTCTAAACAGGTCCCCTTCGGGTTTAATCCTAAGGATAGTTACACTGCTTATCATAACCAGCTAGCCCAGCGTACTGCCATTTTGCTGCTGCTTGCCACCCAGGGGGGAGCTTATATCAGCGTTGAACAACCTCGAAGCAGTCGTTTGTTTCTCTTGCATTGCTATTTGACCTTGGTGAAACTAGGATGTGTAATCACTCATTTTGCTTTTTGTGCGTACGGCAGCGCGTTTATGAAGCCATCCAAATGGCTCCACAATAAACCCTGGCTGGTGCCTCTGAGCACCCGCTGTAGCTGCCCTAAAAACCATAAGCATTTCGTGATCCAGGGTCATTTCACTCATAGTTCGGTTGATGAGTTTGATAAGATGTATAAGCCTGACGCAATGACTGTATATGGGGAAGTTCCACAAGCAGGAAGTGCTGTTTCAGCTTTTTCTGCATCCTATCCGCTGAGGTTGGTAGAAGCTATGGCCTCGGGTGCTGCTCGAAGCCGATTGCAGTCCATGGGTCCGATCCCTTCGGCTGCGCGGGAATCGACGTTGACTGAGTTGAACCTTTCATCCGATGATCTCTGCGTTCTGCCCATGAACGAACCAGTGTTTGGGCCGAGGCCGTGGTTCGAAGATCCGGAATGGATCACTGAGTTGTGTGAGTGTTTGCATTTTTCAGAAGTCTTCCGTTTCAAATTTGCCAAGCCAGGTCACATAAACGTTAATGAGACTAGGACCTATAAATCGTGGCTCAAAAGTATGGCAAAGTCTTTCAGAGACTCACGTTTCATTGGCATTCTGGATAGTCGGGTTACTCTAGGGGCCGCTGCCAAAGGTCGGTCTAGTTCATTTGCTATTAGCAGAATTCTACAAGGGAGTCTTGGGTATGTAATAGGAGGGAACCTTTACCCCGGGGGGCTTCATTGTTATTCCAAACATAACCGTTCTGATGAGCCTTCTCGCGGGCACCCTGTCAGGGGTCCCACCAAAGACTGCCCAGCTTGGCTCTCCGACCTTGAGAAGGGCCACTATGGAAAATTCGACGCCGTAGTTGCGTCGTCCCGAGTTAGTCGAAATCCAGCTCGCTGGCTCCGGTTTTTGCTGATGTTGGCCGGAGATATCGAACCCAATCCTGGCCCTGGAATCCCATCTCCGGTTCCTAGGGGTGCGATGGATTTGACCGTGGGTTTTGCCAAAGAGACATCGTCAAGAATGACTCGCTGTTTGCAAGCCTTTCGAACCTGGTGCGAGTCCGGAGGATTTATTTGGGAGCAGATTTGCAGTTCAGTTGAATCACTGGCTTACGGTCTCCGAGCGTATGGACTTTTCCCGTTTGAAAAAGGATATCCCAGATACCTGCTAGTGTATGCAATTACTGCTGTCCAGGATGTGTTTCCTCAGACTCGTTCCCATTTGGGTCTGGCGTGGCAAATTGATAAGAAGTGGCAGCATCATGAACCTGGGGCCTGTAGGGCCGTACTACCAGCTGTTGCTGTCCGTGCAGCTTGTGCCTTGGGGGCCCTCTGGGGCTGGTGTGCCTGGAGTGCCCTCGTGCTCCTAGGCTTTGCTGGAATGCTGCATCCTTCTGAGATTGTTGGCTTGGTTCGCAGCGATTTAGTTTTTCCCAGTGATGTAGGTCATGACATGGCTTGCATGTTTGTTCATCTGCGCAGTCCCAAGACTGCTCGCTTTGCACGAAGGCAACATTGTAGGATAGATGATGCAGGAATCATAGCTCTGGTCGAAGCCATTTTCGGCCAGTTGCAGTTGTCCCAACGTTTGTACACTGGTTCAATGGCCCAGTTTCGGCGCCAATGGAACTGCGTGATGGCGCGGCTAGGGATCCCATGCCGCCAAGATCAACGAGGTGCGACTCCTGCCTCGCTGAGAGGCAGTGGGGCAACATACATGTACACCTGCATTCAAGATATTCCTCTAATAGCCTGGCGTGGGCGCTGGGCAGAACAAAAACTCTGGAGTTTTACCTGCAAGAAGTGTCAGCACAACTCCTTTTGCATGAGCTGCGTCCGTGGTCAAAGTCTATGATTTTGGAGCTTAGTCGTTTCTCTTTTGCCATCCTCTGTGCTGCTTTTGGTCTTGCAGAGCAGCAATTTATGAGCGGATGATGTTTTTCAGTGGAAGAAGTTCAAAGCAAGGTTCAATGTCCTATGGAAGAGTCATGTGCAGTTGGTCCTGCTTCAAAAGCCATGACCAGCTGACAGAGAGCGTTGTACATAGGATGGCGGGAACCTTTGTGAAAGGGAGGCAAAACAGGGATGCACCTCTATCCCTTTTGAAGTCGTGAGTGAAACAACCTTGCATCAAAGCTTCTTGGGCCCTCAGCCGCCCGCCCGATGATGTTTTTCAGTGGAAGAAGTTCAAAGCAAGGTTCAATGTCCTATGGAAGAGTCATGTGCAGTTGGTCCTGCTTCAAAAGCCATGACCAGCTGACAGAGAGCGTTGTACATAGGATGGCGGGAACCTTTGTGAAAGGGAGGCAAAACAGGGATATATATATATATATATGATATACTGTGCTACTTCCATACTGTTATGTATAATAATATAATCATTATTCCGAATCGTTGATACAGAACTATCAATGATGTATCTATAACAATCTATATCATTCTTATTCATTATATTTACATATTTGTTGAATTGGAATAGTTAGGATAACGATGATGACACTTCAGGCCGTGAGGCCGACGTGGCCCCAGTCGCAGCCGCGTCAACGCCGCTGCCCACACCTGGAGGTTGATACTTTGAGCATCTTTGAACCATTTTTTGTGGATACTATGAAGATTAATGTTGTTTTTAACAACTTGTTCACAATCCATCCAATGACAACCCGGAAGTTACATGGATAATCTGTGTTTTGCGCTGATTTGAAACGGCTCACCTATGGTCCATTCGGCCAGGGCACAGGTAGCCATATCCTCGGCGGAGGAATATGATCAACTTGGGATCGTTGAGTCATCGAAGATAATTGGTTTCATCATTGTAGCAATTCCCGTCCATATGTATATTTGCAATTGCTGTATGTGCATATATTTGCTAGTTGTAAGTTGGATTAAGTGCCAGTATGTGCCAGTGTAAGGAAACGATCAGCATGTCTAGGTTTGGGGTTTCAACTTGACCAAGAAAAATGTTGGAGATCTTGATTTCAATATGAAGTTGGACTTGCATCGATACATTTCACGGGGCTCCTGAGGGCGACCTGCCCCCTTGAGAATCTGAGCACCCACAATAGATCATTATCATTACACCATTGTAATGTGAATCTTGGGATCTTACTGTTTGTAATACGTTGTCTATTATAATTACCCATATTAATCATAGAAAAATATATCTATAATTTGGATAATATCTTAACATATATTCTCGCAGAACCAGACGTTCGCCCATGCTCACATATTTTTTTTTTTGCCACGGTTTTAACAGTTCTCTCATCCAAATCCGCAGGGTTTCCATCATTTTTACCATTGGTTCCATGATGTGGCATTTTTCCCACGATGTAATGACTCTATATTGAATCAAAATCTGAGATATTATGTCATATTTTCTTCCATCATATTACATCATTACAGAAGGATCTAAAATCTGCCACCCCCTCAAACAATACGTATACAGGTCTTATAATGGTTATATTATGGTAAATTTTCTTCCATCATATTACATCATTACAGAAGGATCTAAATCTGCCACCCCCTCCAGACAATACGTATAGACGTATAAAGGTCTTCTAATGGTTATATTCTATCTTATCCAAAATACAAGTGGTGCAAAAAGGCTGCTTTCTGCAAGAAAACCTAGGATCCGGGAGAACCAGAAATATACGTCAAGAACCCTTCCACGACTTCCTGGGGGTCTGTTGACCCGAAAAAACATAGGCTCCGGGCAAACGTCCGGATCTGTTCGAATATATTTTATACCAAATTGTTGTGATTTTAATCACTCAAAAACATATATATCTAAATTATCTAATGGATAATTAATGTTAATGTTATATATTTTACCAATTTATGACTGGATATGGCTGGCCCCTTGCCAGGCAACGCTGGAGGCTCCACCCGTTCGTGCGAGCCTGAGACATCCTCTCAGGTCCACCTGTTCTGTGGATCAAAGGGGGCCAAAAATTGAAAAATTGAAGTGTTCATGGATGTTCATGGATGTTCATGGATGTTCATCCTCCCAAAAATATAGTACGTATAATGTATATGGATGCAAAAAAGGCCCATCCTACAAAGCCCGAGCAATATTGAAGTGGGGTGTCACCAATCATCATCGCTAGTGTTTTCCAAGACATGCATTAAAACATGCCACCATGACCCTAGACTTTCATATTATTGGGACCGAAAAAGGTAGTCCAAAGAACCGACTACTTGGGAACGCCATGTTTGCAGTTGGCGGAGGTTTGTATAGAATGTCTTATTTCAGAGGATTCTTCTGCATCACCTTTAGACACACTGAACGGTGGTCTTTGTACACGACTCTTGATCCAATGATTCATGGTCATTGCCTTTATTCACATGGCTATACTATACTTTAGGTTATACTAACTACAGTGTTCCAGACACAAACCATATCATCATATCATCATATCTTATCTATAGTAATTATTTTCATTAGTGAAATAATAATGATAAGAATAAGAATAATCATGTATACATTGCATATATATATACCTAAACGAGTCCCATTTCAATGGGACAATTATCATCCCGTCAACAGCTTCCAGCTATCCAGAAAGGTTGATTTCTGCCCAGGTTGGTAGTACCAAGTCCATGCACCTCTCAACATGGTCCAAGCATCAGCGAGGTCCGGTTTCTTGCCACTGCTGGGGTCCCATGAATCAAATGCTCCACATCTCTTTGCATATTTCATGAGCGGTGAGGGGATACCAACGATATGCACAGGTGTTGGGTTAGTTACTATATGTCGGATTTGCAGAACAGGAGAACCCCCATCTAAGTATTTCCATGATTATATATATTTACCCTCATGGGCAGGCTTCCGTCAGAATTCGTGGCACCCCGATAGGTTTTCTATGGTTTTCTTAGATAATCTTAGGGTTTGAACTCAATGCCACATCTTGGGGATGGGGTAAATCCCTTGGGGGCCAGGTGGAAGTGGCAACAGTGGCCACAGTGGCAACCATGGAGAGTCCCATGCCAGCCCTGATGCCCAGATGCGAAGCTGGAAAGTGGTGAGATTTGTTTTATTTTATACATGAAAATACATGGCTAGCTTGAAAATCACCAGGAACAACAGAGGTTTTAACGCGAAAATCATCTATAAATGGGAGGTTTTCCATTGCCATGTTTGATTACCGGATGGTTTCGTTACACCATCCACTTATTTTAAAGGGAACATGACTGGAGTGTTGTCCCTTCATCGTCACGCTGCAACTTGGCTCAAGATCGTAGCACTAGGAAAAACAAAGTCTTTTCAAAGGCTGTCGCGAGAGGCCCAAGGGTCCAGCTTTGGGGCCGGGATCAGTGTGGAGTCATTGGTGGCTGTGCTGTATGTGTTGCGACGAATGAACAGAAGCAAACAGAAGAGAACATGTTGGAAAATGCTTGCACATATAACATAATAAGATCATACAACCAGAATTTGGTTCATGTTGTGTTCAGTGCCAGCCACATTCACGTGTCTAAACGGACCATCAGCGCAGCGCCAGGGTCGAAGTAGACATGCCGCTGAAGCAGGATCCTTGCTGAGTCAGGGGGTATGGACTGATGCTTCGAACTGGGGCTGGCCGAATAACATGGGATAGCAATGGACCCACAGAATTGGTTATTCATTTTACTATTGAAGCCCTTGATGATTTAGACGGAATGTCATTTGGATTTTTGAACTGCTTTGGTTTCATAGTGACGTTGTCATTTCTTTCCTGCTACAACTTGGGGTGAGAGGTAAATGTTGCTGGTGGAATCGGAAAGTTAAAGACAGCAAGCAGATCCGGTCCATCACATTTTGCATCATCCAGCCATCCATTGAATCCTGTCATTGGACAAAGCACTGTCCAAAACTGGAATGCCACCCCACAAAAAAACAATGGTTCAACGGTTCAAAGGTGCATACATACATACATTACAATACAATACAATACAATACAATACAATACAATACAAATACAATACAAATACAATACAATACAAATACCAATACAAATACAAATACCAATACAATACAATACAAATACCAATACAAATACAAATACCAATACAATACAATACAATACAAATACATACAATACATACAATACATACAATACATCAAATACATACAATACATACAATACATACAATACATACAATACATACAATACATACAATACATACAATACATACAATACATACATACGTACGTACGTACGTACATACATTAAAAAAATGAGGTTGCCATTTTTGGGGCATGCCCTGTTGAATGAGGAGTTGGTGGCAGCATGTACTGGCCACTGGAAGACAGAGATGTTTCAGGCTCCCTGTGAGGCCTCCGTCCGTTCATAGACGATTGTTCCATAAAGATTCGGAATTCACATGATTCCTAAAATATTATGTCATGTTTCAACAAGCACATGGCACATACGTTGACGTTGACTAGAGAGTTGCTGGTGTTTTGGGCCACACTGAAGCGCGGAAGTTGCTCGTGATGTCCTATTTGGAGTGAAAGAGACGTCTTGTAGTCTGGAGCGAAAGATATGATGTTGATCGATAGATACTCCTATTGAGATATGGTTATGGATCAACAGATATGGTTATTTTAGGATCAACAGGTAATACTATACATACCCATATCATCCCATATCCAAATATTATTGTAACCAGTGGTTATATCCAAATATACAGATAATACCCATATATCAGTGGTTATTTCATAACCAGCCTCTCCTTACTGAGATCATTTGGGCAGGCGCCTGCCTCTTGTCTCTACGGTCTGGAACTTAGCGCAAAGGCTGGATGAGCTTCGCAAACAGATTCCCTGATTTCTTGATATCATACAATCAACACTGAGCCTCATCTCATTCTCATAGAATTGGATGATGGGAAAATTTACAGGAAAGACCTATATTTGATGGTAAAAACATGTAAAAACCATGGTTTCCTGTAGATTTTCCCTTAAACCAATCCATTGACATTCATATTTCAAACATATTAAGACATATTAAACCATATGAATAAAACATATTAAATCAGCAATTAACATCTGCGATTAACATCTGCATTAATATCATATCTGCCATATCTACAGCGATGGAAGGAACTCATCTTCACAGCCCTCAGGTTGTTGCTGCATTTGCTGCGCCTTGGCGATCGATCGAAATCGTTTTTGGTATCAGAATCTCAGGTTGTCTCGGTTTAAACAGACGTTAAACAAAAGGTTGAACATCTAGAAACCCTTAAAGATACATATAGTAGAATTCATAGATAAATATGATATTTGTAACATCCATCATCAACTTATCTTAAAACATCCGGTTACAACGTACCTTTTGCGGAGCCCCAAAAACCCAACAGCGGAGCATGTGAGGCGCAAGCTACCAGCAGAGGACCGAGCTGCTGGTCGGGACCTCGGAAATACATCATGATACATCCATGACCCTGGGTGTGTCTCTGTGTGAAAGCTGGGAAAAGGTGTATACCTCATAGCTCCGTATTTGAACCTACCAGGACGGGGATGGTGTGAAAAAACCAACACCCTTTTTTGGATGATTATGGTTTCGTAGTGGGTTTACACAACTGTAACGTATACCCCCATTTATGATATCATCTATTGACATTTTAATGAAGAAATTATGATGATGATTGACCCTTGGATTTGGGGTTACCCTATGGATCCCTTTACAATTTTGGCTCCTTTTGGCCTTGTTTTTCGGCCCATTCCCTACATCCCTAGACTGAGGACATCACCGGCGAGCCCTATGTGTGCTGTGCTGGCCTTTGCCCCTGCGGTCCTTTGGGAGAGCCTCAGGAGGGGGATCAAATGGCAGTTTCATTGGGAGAATGAGGTGTTAACATGTGTTAACCATCAACTTTGACATTTGAGGGTGCCAATGAGTGCCTAATATTTACAGAGAAAGGCGTTTTATCTCGATTTTGTGGAGAATTGATGGTTCACACAGGAGTAGTTGGTGCTGGTTTTTATTGGGTGACTATGTATGATCCCAACTCATTTGGTGACCTATAAAATGGAACCCAACTGGCCGGAGAAGAGGCAGTCTTCGTTCTTATATCCATTGTGAGATTCTGCCTTTGAAAGGACTGGCCCAAGCTGAAACGTAGTTTCAATATGTTTCAATTCTTCCTGCAACACCTCAGAACGCCTCAGAACGCCTCAGCTATCTGAAGCTCTTTGATTAATAGTAAGCCAGATAAGCAAGCTTGGTGGCGCTGCCATGCTTCGTTTACTCCTGGCAAGTCTGTTTTCCTGCATTGCTGCAGATGAGCCTGGGCTAGAGTTGTCGGCTTGACTTAAGTTCAAGAAAACCAAGAGATCATGCTGTCTGTTGCAGAATGTTGCCAGCATTGCGTGCAAAACTCTCAAGACTTTCATATACTTTCATGACATCTGGCTGAAACCCCACCTTACATCTCTTTACATTCTTTACCATCAATCATTCCCCTCTTGCTGAACTGTCGTTTCAGCGTTAAGGACAGCTTCGTTTTGCCGCCCCGCAACGGTTCAGAGGGCCTGGAGATCGCCTTGATCTTCATCCAAGGGGCGAAATCTCCAGTGCTGGGCTACAAACCCATGCTGCAGGCGATCCAGGCCGCCTCCAGCAATCGACTCTGGGTGGGAGTCCCACAGCACCTGCTGGACATCGCGGAGATCGATTTCGCGCGGAAGGTGGAGGAGATGCTGCAGAGAATGAGCAAGGCCCCTTTTAGGATCCAGAAGGGCTGAAGATGTCTGAAGATGTCTGAAGTCTGAAGTTGTTGGGCTTTGGTCAGTATTTTGTTCAAATGTTTTTTTTGTTGGTCAGCTCTTCAAAACTCCAGAACTGCCATTCAAACAGTCTCAGTATTGCAGTGGCTCAAAACTCATCACGCAACTCATCATTCTACCATCACATTTTGTCATTTTTGGCTGCCATCTGTGATCATCAATGGCATTTGTTTCTGTGGCTGATCTAGGCGGGCATGAAGGCAGATCGCTTTGTGTTGATGGGCCATAGCCTGGGTGCCGTGTGCTGCCAGCTGTATTTGGCCAACGTGCCGAAGCGGAAGTTTGATGCCTTGGTGCTGACGGGCAGCGCCATCCTGAGGCACTATCGAAACTCCAGTGACCTGGATGATTTGGCACCCCATAGGACCCGGATAGGACTCTGCAGATCTGAAAGATCTGAAAGCTCTGGGGCTTTGGGAATGTTTGGGACCCTGGGTGATGGTGGTGTGGGATGTTATTTATTGGCTGAAGCGACTTGAGGCAACGAAGTGGGTGTAGAATTGGGACTTTGGGCAGATGAGGTGCATTCTATTGCATTTCTGATCTGGTTTGCTGAAGATCACAAATTGACAATGCACCCGTTTGTTGTCCCTCCATCTAGGGTATTTTGTTGATTATGTACAATTATTTGGGTAAATTATAACGACCTCACTGCGACCTCACTGGAATCATGGTTAATAAGGGAAATCATCCCCAAATGGCCTTAATTCAGGTTAGTGAAATATTATGATTTACCCAGAATTATGCCCTGCAAATGATGTTCATTGTATTTTTCACAGCAGTACTTGTAGTTTGCCTGTGGCGCGGCCATTCACGCGGGGCGTCAAGGTCTACTGCCGACGACGTTGACCCTGGATGGGGATTTAGATGGCTTGCTGCGGCTGTCGCGACAAGCTGAAGCCTATTTCCATCAAGTGGAGCAACCTGGTGGACCGGAGGACCTGGAACTGGGTCAGTGGGTTTCACGATGATCCCAACTCGTTCAAAAGAAAGTCATCAATGCCTATCACCGAGGTATGTATAAGTGAAGCTTAAGTAGATACAAGTTTAATAATATACAATATTATACAATAGAGGTACCCCTAAATCATCTATCTTTTTTTTTGGATTTTCCATTTTTTTCACCATCCAGCTATTGGGGCATCCCCCATTCCCTGATGGCCTGTCCAGGATCCCAAAGCTTTGCAGAATCCAGTGGTGATTCTGCAGGGTCTCAGCAACTTGGCTCCACCAAATATGCCAAGGGAATGTTTCCTGAATATCTATTATAGATATCTATATTATAGATATATGCTATATCTATTATAGATATTTATCTATATTCTAGATATATGATATCTAGATATATGATATATCTATTATAGCTATCGATGCCTCAAATCATCGTTAAGCATGACGTTTTATACGACCTGCACTGCCGAAGAAAACCACTGGCTCTCCCAGGTCATTGGAGCTTCAGCAGTGGCGATCTGCCCGGCAATGTCCGGCAGAATGACCTGCGCGCGGAGCATTCGCAGCCTGAGGGTCATCAGATGATTGGGGAGGCCTTGGGGCCCGCCTTGGGGGGGGTGGAAGGGACATCTTTTTTTGGGGATTTTGGAACATGACCCGATGCCTCAAGAAATCTAGATGAAGTGGTTTTTGAATGGGTTTTTCACATGTTTGAAACAGAATTTGGGGTGTGAAAGTCCGTTCTTCCGTTATGAGTTATATATTTTCCTGATTGTTTCGGCCACTGGTTGTATCACTCGTGGTCGTATGACTTTGAGACTCAGCAAACGGCCTTCAGTATCTCACCTGTGGAGGATCCCTGAATTCTGCACTTCCGCAAGACTGTAGACTACAGACAACTTTAGACTAGAGTCTAGAGTTGTTGAATCACGAAAGAAGCTATATGATATGGTTTTCTATGTTTATATACTTAGTATATCTTAGTTTATATATACGTATGTATATTATACAGTAATATACAGTATATATATATACATATATAATGAATATATATAATGAATATATATATAGTATATATATATATATAGTATATATATAGTATATATATAGTATATATATATAGTATATATATAGTATATATATATAGTATATATATATATATCGATCTATTTACATTTATATACACATATGGACCCCCCTTCAATAGCGAACATTTAGCATATGACACATTGTGTTGACCTCAAACCACGGAGGAAACGTGCCAGGCTGTGTCCGACTATTTGGCATTCCTCTTTGGTAAATCGACTGGTGCCCGGCAACGCGTGGTGACAGCTGTCCAGAAGACTGGTGTCATGCTAAAGCCATTGCTTGAGGCGGCACCAGGAATCTCACCACTACCAGTCACTAAGCCATTTCTGCACATTTTGAAAGCGGGTGAAAGGCCGGTGAAAGGTTTCAAATTCTCTTGCAACGGGCGAGCATTCAGATGCAGGACAAATTCGCGCAAATCCAAAGGTGGTGAAATATCATGGAACATGTTCTCAAGCTCCCGGTCTACACAATATCGTATCAAGGGCAAGTCAGAGTTGTAGGGTGCTGCACTGCCAGGCCCTCAAGATGGAGGGTTACCGCTATTTGCAGCCACCATGCAACAGTGATTACCCTACGAATCCAACTTGCCAATATCCAAAGCTGCTTGGAGTCTAATGTGCCACCCCTTGCCATGCCATTTCCTTTGCCTTTCATGTGCTTTTCCCCAGGGTCAATGTTGGAATGAGCCAGTAGCTGCGGGACAACTGTGGGACACGCTACGGAATCCTCTTTTAGGGATCAACATCGGATTGCCATCCTTCCACCAGCTATTTCGGTGTACCAGTGTATGTTTGAAGAAAGGTAATTAGTAAAACATAGGCAATGTTTTGTTGTCTGAAATACTGGGTGAACTAGCCCACTTCAAAATAGCTAGGTGGAGATTCATTCACCCCAAATCTGGTATACCCTTTGGTAATTTGACAATATTTGACATTGCTCTTACAAATAATTGTGGCTCATTTATTTATAGATGATTTACCCATCAAAAACACTTTTTCCATGGCAAGCTGTTAAATTCCCAGAGGGTCATAGGCCGTAGGTTTTGACCCACTCATCTCCCTGGTCCGGGATTTTTCTGCAAGGTATCCGGACAAGTCTCTCCTGCCACCAGCGGGTCCTCCCAAACCTTTGCCACCAGCTGACTGCACCTGTGGAAGCCCATGGGTGGAGCAAATGGCTGCTCCAATGATGAAGGGAGACCTCGATGTTAAGCTCATTGTGAAGGACTCCTGGGATGGGCATGTGAAACCAGCTACTCAAATTATGACATTTCGTGAGCATCGGAGCTGGCATCGAGAGTTGTGGCATCTAGTAACACCCTCTGAAAAGCTTCAACAAAACATCGATTCCAACCTGGCAACTTGAACGCCGTGCAGGATGCCTTCCACGACGTTTCTGATGTGCGGCCCTTCCATTTGCCGCACATCTTTGATCCGAAGCCAGGCTCTGCCTGCTCTGGGCCCAAAGAATGCCTGATCAATTCAACCACGGTCACCATGCCCATCTACGACCTCAAGGCCGGGGGCTGTGAACCAGAGTGGCGCTTTGTCGAAACGCTGGGACATGGATGAGTTAAACATAGTTAAGCATTCCAAAAAATAGGGTCAATAGGGGTATCAACAGGGTCAACTACTTACAAAATTCCAAGATCATCATACATCATAATTCATCACAAACATTTAGAATTCTATAGAATTCTATAGAATTCTCTACATGAAACATCTCTTCCTTGACATGCACATAACTTTACGGTCCGAACCGTCCCAGGACCAGCTGGATACGGGGCTTTGGCCCATCACCGCCTCGGAGATGCGGACGAAGTTCAAGTCGCGCCAGGCCATCATGGAGGCCATGGAGGATGGTGGTCCGACATGGAGGGTTTGGCCAGCAGTTTGGCTGTTTTTTCTGGATGATCAATGGATGATCACTGGATTGGTTTAAGGGAAAATCTACAGGAAACCATGGTTTTTACATGTTTTTACCATCAAATATAGGGCTTTCCTGTAAATTTTCCCATCATCCAATTCTATGAGATGATTTTCTGGGAGAACAACTGGATGAGAACTTGGATGACTGGGCAGAAAAACTTGGATGAATTTGAGTTTGAGAAGTGGATTTTGGATTTTGGGATGGATGTGCAGGGTTCTCTCAAAAGGCGATGAAACGGGGATGTGGTCATCAGAATGCAGGATGTACCCATCAGGAAGGAGAATCTACTTGTCCGTGGGGATTTTGGGCACCGACTCACGAACGAAGACATGGAAACTGCAGGATTTCACCCAAAATGGTGCTTTTTCGCCAGGTTTGACGCAACAATCAGGGATGTTTTTTTTTTTCTAATGGCAAAGTAGTTTATACGGTTTTCTGCAATGGGTTGTTACCAGGAATTCCAAGCTTGACGAATTTTCTGGGTCCTATGGACCCAACTTGAAAGCCGACGTAGAAAGTCTGATACGACAGATTGACAATGTATCGGCTGAAAAAAGGGCCCCCCAAAAAGATAGGAGTTTTTCCAGGATGAGATATATTGAGATGAGTTTAGATGATATTTACACCATAATTCCCAGGTTTCTAACTATTCGGCATCCATTTTGGATCTGCTACCCCATCTCGGTGGGAAATCGCAGGCTGCAGGACTGAAGGATGTGAATTTCACAGAGACTGCTTTTTGGCGAACGGTGAGAACTGGGTTGCTCCAAGCCTTGGGTTTTCATCATAGTCGCAAAAGGGGGTGCACGTTGTATCTGGGGTGTGGGGAGGAGCAACCCTGAATGGAAAAAAAGGGGGATGGAAGCGAGAAAACTGAGGATTCAACTTTCAAAACTTGGGTTTGAAAATGATGGAAGCATCAAGAGCTGGGATTTTACTGAGTTGGGTGTGTTTGATTTTGAGTATACCCCCAAAATCGCTATTTTGATGGGGTGTGGTTCCGCCCCATTCGTGTGACAACTGGGTTTCCTCTTCGTTGAAGACAGGGAGGGAGCCCACAGATCCAGTGAAAAGATGTGAAAAGGCTATTTAATGATTTAATGATATTTAATGTCGACTTCTGTAGATTTAGGGTACCCTACTTTCAGACGTGTGCCCCATATTTTGTGTGGGGCGTTGGATTCTCTTTGGATCGGGTGCTGGCCCTCGGAATTTGTCAATCCCAAGGATGGATCCAATACTGGAATCTGTCAATCCATCAATCAAGCAGCGTATGAATGGGCTCTCAAGCACGCCTCTCCTGTGGCAACTCGGAGATGATGGGCTTGGGACATCAAGATCATCAAATCCGTGAAGTACAGCTAGAGATACTCATTGCAAGCATAGTAAATTTGGCCAGATATTGTTTTGATATGAATAGAAACCTGAGAACTCTTGTTTCAGTTGGAAGAACGGAGTCTTGCACAATGTTTCTTGGATCACTATATAATCCGTGCCCGGGCAGTATACAAGACATCATCTTTCATAGCATATATACACTGTATACACCCTATTACACCACCCCTTTCCCTGGCATTGTCCCTTCAGGTTGCACCATACTCCGGTTGGTGGTTTGAAATATGTCTTCCATTATTTTGCACAAGTTTGCAACATTTTGCAACATGCTGCAAACATGATGCGGGATGATGATGATGATGATGATGAAAATCCCCAATGACCAGCATAATTGTCAGAGGGCTCAAGCACTACCCATCCGTTGCCCTCGGAGTCCTCGGAGGCACTGGGTCGCTTCCAGAAGTACGGCCAGAAATTGTCCTTTGCAGAGGCCGTTGCGCCGAGAGCTAACGTTGAAAGACCCCTCTACCCTCCAGTAAACTAAGAGTTTGCTGTGGAAAATTATGGAAACCATGGCTCATTTAGTTCGAGGCTTTAATTTGATATATAGGAATTTTCCAGAACTCGGCGCTTTGTACTGCTATGTTAGTTTACCAGTTGGTGGAAAAAGAGAACATGTTTCTCTGTGGAATTTCCATTTAGATCATCCCAGTGAGGAGGTCCAAAATGGCCAGGACAAGAAGTCTGGATTTGGCATCATGGGACCTACATGGATCCATGACAGCTTGACCTACACGCCCAGCCAGGTGTGGGCCGTGTGGGGCAGCTTGATGTGGGTATGGCTGGGTCAACCACTGCATTCTTTTCAAACCTGACATCTTTCGGTTTAAACACCATTTCCTAGGCATGTTGAGCTCCGGAACCCTCAACATCAAACTACGAGAGCCCTTCTGCACAGCTCGCAAAAATTGTTCCCTAGGAATTCCAACATGTACGATTTCACAAGGAGAGTTGGCTATGAGTCAAAACCCTGGTGCCCTACAGTAGGTATCCTAATTAGCTGGCTAATGGGTGTTTATTCCCCCCAAAACAATGGCTTTGACAGTTTTGACATCAACCAGCTGCAATTTCCAAACTTGGCCTGTGCATCGTCCGATAACCCCAATGAATGTGACTCCCAAATGAATATAACTAATGATGCGTGCCTCTCTGGGTTGCTGGTCCCAAAAAGTTTCATCGTTTGCCGGAGGACTGCATAGCTGCATAGTACCGCCAAAGTGTTAGGATCATATTGAGCTAAAATCGTCGTAACATGTTGTAACACGTCTTCACATATTTTGCGCAGAAAATTCATGAAAATTCCATGACTCATTTTACCATTGGATAAAATGTGAATCTATGTAAAATGAATCATTTGACTTTCAGGCTTAACCGGCTTAGCCATCCACTGTTTGGCTCTCCCAATTTTGACCACAATCCATTTTCAGCTACCAGAAACAGGGGTTGGTAACTGTCCCATTTTGGGAATATTGGACATCACCTTATAGTAGCCATTATAGACCATATATCTAATGGTTGGGTGATGTTCAATGGGGACATTTAATGACCCATGTTTTCAACAGGACAAAAAGACGGTGGTGGTTCAGTCGCATTATTTCACAACTGCCAATAAGCACCTCGACCTTTGGAGATGGGTCAACGGGTCAACGTTCGGGGTTCGTTGGAGAAAACCAAGATTTTACACATGGGGATGGGTCAAAACCCTGGTACCTAGTGAACATCAAAATAGCTGGTAAATTACTGGTAAATGGATGTTCATCCCACTAAAAATGGTATTAATAGGTATTGATATGTATTGATCCATACCCACATAGGAATATAAGCGAATCATGCAGACATCTCTTTGGCATACACCTGTAAAACTGTAAAACCCTCAGCTTTGAGGGTAATAAGGCAAATTGTTGGTCGATGCAAGTTGAAACGTGCTTCCAAACATGTTTCTTGGTGCCACCCCAAACAGGGGCAGCAAGCTGTACAAACAGCAGGAGTTGAGGATCCCCACCTTGTAGATATGATGCAGCTTAGGTCATTTTTGTTGATAATAACTATAGCAACCATATTCTTGCCATACAATCTGAAACTTAACTTGCCCACTTCTTGCCCTATGACATTGTACCTGAACATATTTTGATATGCGTCATGGCAAATCAATTGGTATCAATAAGGCACAACACAGCAGGTGAGGAGTGGAGAAGGAACACAATAATTAGGGACAGTGCAAAACGATGTGAAATAGAGAGGAGGAGACCTCATCTGACTTGTCCGCAAATCCTTGTCGGAATTTTCCTGGAATTTGATCGTCCGTCTCGGGGGCCCCCAGCAGGGACCATTGAAAAACTAAAAACTGACATGCTGCACAACGCTACTGCTACTGTAAATTGAGGAACAACCAATCGGGCAAGAAACTCTGAACAAGCTGGCTACGATTGCGCCAATAGAATCGTGCCAGTCAATTGCCGCGTAACCGTTGGCGCACTCGAAACTTTCGGGGTTGCAACGGTGACAAACTTGAGAACAGTGTCCTGCAGAAGGGCCACTCACATGGAATATGTTTTTTTGCATCCGCTGTGTGCTACATTATAGATTACGTCCTGCGTATGGGTTTGACCTGGTGTGGGGTTGGTTTTATCGCTAAAATCTTGCGCGTGCATCTGTTGCGTTGCTCGCAATCAAGATAATCAAGTGGAATGATGGTGCCCCACTTAAAATTGATAATGATGGGACATGGTTTACCGCTTTCAACTCAATAAATCAGGTATCATGCAGTAAATCTGTCACTAGTTTTTTCCTTGGAAACTAGCTTTGTTATTAGGTCAAATCCATCAACCCTGGGGTTGCACACATTCCAATGGTCCATGAGAAAAAATCTGGGTGTGTCTTAGGGTGTACCAGAATTGATGCTCAATCATGCTCAAACATCATGAAAAACCAGCCGCATACCGGTGCAGCTCAGGAACTTGGGCGATGTGTGTCTCAGCAGAGTTGATAAGGATGGGTGGCTGAACTATGAAACCAGTTGTCATTGATGAACATCCAAATATACTGTAGTTTGATGATGTTTGATGTTTATTTGTGTAAAGCTATTCTGAGACCAGTTATAATCTGATATGAATGAACATCAATGAACATACACATGATATACACAATACATGATGCTTATGTTCATTTTCGGTGCATGAAATCTATGCACTCTCAAAAACATCAAGCAACCCAGGCCCGGCCCTACTCAACAGCTGGTATCCGTTCCTACCCAGGCCTTTCATTCAGACTGTTGGCTACCACTACTGCAAGCTGCTATCACCAGCACGTGCCATGGAGTGGATCTACGTAGATGGCTTGAAGGACGCCAAAAAAAAACAACACCGTTGTTTTGCGGTGTCGCGGAGGTAACAAGAAAGGCGGAAACCCACAAAGATCGATGAAGAATAAAGGTTGATCAACGTGATCCAAAGGTACTTATATTCTTGAACTTTGGAGAGTTTTCTTGCAGAGTGTACAAGCACCGAGTTGTCAGCATATGATACAAGGCCTCATTGCAATGGTGCCTGTTATGCTGCTCGTTCTTCGTTTTTAATCAGGAGTTCTACGGCTTCAAGAATGTCACTGAGACTGCGATCATTGTATGAAGCTGTGCTCTGAAGCAGTAGCAATAGTATGCAATAGTAGCACACTTCATGAGAGAAACATACTCCACCAAGTAGCCGCAGTAGTTGCTGATAATTTCTTTTTGGCTCCCATAGTAACCATCTTTTGCGTACTTGGATGCACTGGCGCTTGCGTACTTTCCCGGGCCTAGTTTGTTCCATCCGACGCTGGACACAGTATCTACAATGTTGTTTTATACTGTACCTCAATATTTTGGGTTCAATCAATGAGCTCTGTGACTCCAGGATATTGATACTGATCCATTCTTGTGACCTGGAGTCTTCTTCCTTCGGAAGTGTGCGTGTTTTTGCAGAAGATGCTTGCTCGCGCTTGGTGACAGGCATGTAAATACTTGTAAATAGACCTCAATAGATCAATTCAGTGGCTGTGGCCATTTGAAAGTGGCACTGTATGGATCCGCAGGTGATCTGTGACGGATTTCATTGTGAGATATTGTATTGTGAACATCTTCTTGAGCAAGAATTATACTAGATCATACCAGATCCATTAACAGCGGGTTGATGGCCATCAAATCATGTTAGTAGGCCTTCTTTAACAACAAATCTCCACGTGTTTCAGGGAGGAGCTTTAACCGTTGTTGCTGTGTGCCTAAAGACGACATGGTACGCACAGAACCCGGGAAAACCCATGAAAGCCATGATCGATTGATAACAGTTATCATTTGACCATGTACACAGGCCCAAGCTGCTGGCGTACAAAATCCAAGGGTAGCTGTTGACGCCAAAGGCGTCACATGCACAGGTCCGGACAGGGTTGACAGCCAAGCGATAAAGAACGTTCCAATGGCTTTTCGGTATTGTTATTTCATGTTATTTCTTATATATAACTACCAAGATTATTAGCTCCAATGTTACTTGCTGTCTGTCTCATGGTGCTGGAGCTACTGTCCAGACAGGGTCTCCAACATAATTGGAAAAACAAATCAGCACCGAAGCAATAGTAGGGACCCACTCTTGAATTCACATGTCTATATACCTTGATCATTATATGACTCCTAGAAAAAATCTATTGTATCTATGGAATTCTATGGATATCTATAGTAGGGACTCCTTAACATTCATAGGCTACATAGGGAATCCCTCCGAAAAAAAAACATTAAAACTTAAAAAACATGTGGGAATCGTTCCTGACTTCACTTTTCACAAAGCGCCAGGATCGCGCGTGCCTCTTCCTGGAAGTTTGCTGCTGTCCGGGCTTGGCATTGAGCGCCAACCGGCCAGGGCCCCACGGGGATGGCCCATCTTGGCCTGTACCTGATTTACCCTCTGGTAAACTAACATAGCTATTGAAAATGGCCATTTATAGATAGTTTTCCCATTAAAAATTGTGATTTTCCATGGCTATGTTGAATTACCAGAGGGTAAGTTTATCATCTGAACCTTGGGTTGTTAGACCTTCATGAAGATGTCTTTGTTAAAAGCATTGCTTTTCATCCGAATCGATGTTTTTTTGATATCATGATTGACATTGCCATGAATGGTGGGTGTAGCCGGTACAGCCGCATGGTTTAGACCCGCGCACACACACACATGTGTGTGTGTATATACCTATTATATCCTATTATATTTTTTTTACTTTGATGCGTTGCAGTTAGCACAGATGAATTGGCAACGCCTTGAACGTGTGGTAGTGGTAGTGGTAGTAGTAGTAGTAGTAGTAGTAGTAGTATCAGTAGTAGTAGTAGTAGTAGTAGTAGTAGTAGTAGTAGTAGTAGTAGTAGTAGTAGTACTAGTAGTAGTAGTAGTATCAGTAGTAGTAGTAGTAGTAGTAGTAGTAGTAGTAGTAGTATCAGTAGTAGTAGTAGTAGTAGTAGTAACTGATAATAATTGATGAATTACAGAGGCAGATAAAGGCATCGGTGTGGTAAACCCAGTGCCGCTAATTGTAGTTGCTTATAGCATTGGGTTTACCACATTACATATATAGATTTACAAAGAAGCATAGCCAATCAGATGGCTATTTCTTCTTTGGATCAAAGGATTTGCAGGCATCGCCTGACCCTAAACAAATTTGCAAAGTCCATGTGCAGAGAGCCTGGTAGCGCTGGTAGGTTCATGGTGCAGACCCGTTTCGACAAGGACGCAGAGAGATTTGGCACCCTTTGATTTGGGATCCATCAGCACAGCTGGAGACAATCGGCGGACCGTGGGTATACCGGCTTTGTCTTCAGATGTCTTCAGTGTTGGAAGGCTTCACAGACATCCTGAGATATCCTGAGGTCCTTTTCAAATAAGATCAAACAATCAAATAAGTTTCCTCGAAGATTGCGATTGGCCTCAGTTTTTTTGGTTTAGAGAACTCACGGGTTAATGCCAAACATTGAGCTTCAACACTGCCTCTGAGGAGAACACGGCCTGCGATGACTGTATCATCACTGGAACCTGTATTTTCGTCGTGAGACTCAGAGGATGACTTAAGGCTGTCACAGGATTCTCAGCAGCTCTGTTGAATAAAACATGACACATCTGAAAGATATTGAACGATTCCAAGTTATAACAAGATATAACAAGTATGGGACAAGTTCGCACATTGCTGACGTGTTCCAACGACCTTTTCGTGCCAAACGAGGTCTGTGCTTTGGATATTGCCAGGCATCACCGTGTCGCTGTGATGTTCAAAGCTGACTTTTACTTTGTCGTGGTGTACCATCTCAGCAGTTAGTTTAATGATCGGAAAAGAAAAGAAAGCACACTTTTGAATGATCAATTTTGTTTTTTTAGTCAGAACAATCCTGCAAAATCATGCAAACATGAACATGATGAATTTGTATGAATTTGTTCAATTGGCCAAAGCCAGGTGAGGATTCCATAAAATGTCATCCCTTCAATGTTTCCCACTGCTTCAGATGCTTTATCGACATTCCTAGAGAGCTGGACTTTATTGCAGACTGTCTTGGGGCCCAGAGCCATCGGATTTTCGATCGGATGTCTTGCGCCGTGCCTTGCGCCATGGGCACCGTGCCGGGGCTGGAGCTGAGGCTTGGTGATGTCGGTGCAGGGATGCATGCACGCACAACAGCAGATTGAGATCGATGAGATCAAGAAGAATGGTTGGTCTGGTGGGGACCCAGGATGACATCAGACCATATGACTCATATGACCCTGAAACCTGGGCGGGGAGGATGGCAATTTTGGCAATTTATCTCTAACTGCCTTTGCGAAAAGCATCGAACAGTAAATTTCATGGAGAGTTTGATGCAGCAAGTGCAAAGGTTTTTCGAGACCGACTTCAGACCTGAGAGGAGCGTAACCAAACATGGCCAAATGCCCCATTTTATGGGCCCCATTTTATGGGGAATACTGCAGATGTTCCCACGGGATGTTGTGGCTCCAAGGTATGAATCCAATGATCTTGCAGTCAATGCCACCAAGTCAACAGCATATGTTCCAAAAGGCGCGGGAGTCCGAGTCAAGTGGTGATGCTTGAAAAAACTGGGATACCCGAAAAGTTGGATGGTTAAAACATGTTAAATCTATAATCATATAAATAAAACTATAGTTATGATGGTTAAAACATGCCCCAAAAATCCCCAAAACATACATCATAACCAATCTGTGTGCGGGCCGCTGGCTCTTCATCCAAATTTTCACCTGTGTGCCCCACGTTCAACGTATTGCTCGCAATAGGTTGGCATGAACGGGGGTCACCCGCATCCAGCGATGATGGGAGCTCCACAGCAGCAGCTGTCTCAGGTCGTGGCAAACTGCGATTTGGGGTACCTCATTTTCAGACAAACCACGACAAACCTGTATGTACTGACAATATCCCCCCACTAATCCCCAATTTTGGTTGGGCTGCTCATGGCTTAAAAATCCTTAAAGATCATGGCCCGGAACTTCTTGACGTCTTGGCTTATACATTTTCTATTCACCATTCGGACATGACAGTACCTCAGGGGCTCTTCCAATCGCTTAAGATGGAGACACTTTTTTGGCGTTAAGATCGACCGGCTCTGTTTCTGAGGCAGATGCATATGGGGTGTGGTATCTCAGTGATCTCCCGGACAGGGAAACACCTGATCTCCCAGGAGGGCCCAGATTTACCACGTTTCTAAAAATGCAGTGTTTTGAGGTGTGTTAAAACAAACGCATTTGGAAGAAAAATATGTTTGCTTTACAGCTTTCTCATTGAGTATCTAAAAAGGTATCGTTTGTTTTTTGAACAAAGAATAAACTTGATTGATTATATTTGATTATATAGAGCGTCTTGGAAAGTCTAAAGCTTCAGAATGCATAGAAAGAAAGTGATTGATCCTAGGGAATGAAAAAACAATATGAACATATATATATACATAATATACGGTCCAAGGGAGGGTCGGTCCCCCCGCAAAAAAAAAATAACAAATTGACCAACCCTTAGACCAGATATGTATATATATATACACATCTTTACATTCTTTTTAGGACCCTCCCTTAGTCTATAATATATAATAATATATATATACGTATATATATATATATAGTTTTTTGAGACACTTCCTTAGACTGCCTAGACCCAGACCCCCCTCCCCCAGAGCTCCCTAGACCCAGCTCCAACGGTCTTTACACTACGTAGTATGAACAATACCACCCAGTTTGTTTATTTTAAAAAGAGCGTCATCAGTAAAAGATATAAACTTAACTTTTTTGCAGACTCATTATCCTTAGACAATGCTAACTATAACCCATCTCATCTTGTAGGAGATCTTTTTATCTTTTTAAAGCTTTGGATTTTCTTCACTGCATGGCAAGGACATACTAAGCTTAGAAAAGAAAAACACTATGTCTGAGGGCCATGTTGTGCCACTACAAGGGCCAGTGCATGATATTCAAAAGTGGCACAGGAAGAAAACAGGATGGAAAGTAGAACAGCTATACATATATATATATGTCATATTTGAAGAAAATCATTTATTTCAAGAACATGCTACATTTGTCATGGCCATGAAGCTCAATGTTTATTTGAATGAGTAATCTTGAATGACCATCTACAGTCATCCCAGGGGAGCAGGCAGCTAGATCATATATTTTTCGTGATTTGCGTAGCCAATTTACACTCATTGAGGTCTTTGTGCAGTCCAACTCCACACATGGGTCAATTCAAGCTCGATTTCAAATAGAGCCAACAATAGTGCTACAACTTTTCAAAGCTACAAAGACAAGCTGGCAACATATGACATGGCGCAATGATTACTTCTATTGGTTATTTACAAGGTAATTCAAGAGATAGTTAGGATCACCCTTGCTGCAGTATCTTAATCTGCTGATAATATCTTTCAAAAAATACGGAAAAATCAAATAATGTATCGTTGGGGTAGGTCTGCTCCTTGCCATGGCGATATGTAGGCATACCCTTGAAGATGTTTTCTTGTTTGATTGCTCTGGCCACATGCAAACTCTATCTAGGCTAACCAAATTGCTTGATCAGCACATTCACTCACAGATTTTGATTGCAGGATTTTCTTTCCATATTATTTCCATAATGTTTTCATATTTGTTAAAAAACAAATGCATAGCGTAGCATGAAAAGAGCATGATACAAGTCACCACTCTACAAAGGTATTGCCAATGAAGAACATGTCATATGCAATTTCTATAACACCATGATGAGTCAATCTGCTTGTGTAGCTAGTGCAGCTTGTATGTGACACTATTTGCAGAGTTTCCTGTTTACCTGCATTGTTGGCTTACCAGAGAAGCATGTACAAGTTCAGGTAGACCCCAGACAAGACTACAAATGTATAGAAACTTGATTGCCATAATTTCTTACATGAGACTCTAAGTTTCTGGAATGGCCATGCATGTGATGGGTTGAAGCTGATCACTGCTACGTGCATGTAAGATTGATTTAGCCATCTTGCTCAAAGATTGGTTCTAAGCATTCGTATATATTCCATGTTCACTATATAAAAGGTTGGAAAAAGTGAGTTTTCTCTGTACATATGTGAGAAGAGTAATTTGCTCCATGCCTTTTCATGATCACTGTTGGTTTGTGATGAAGTTTGCACTTTATTGCACGACTCAGTAGAGCCATTGAAATCGGTTCACACGAAAGTTAATCTTGGGACAAAACTTGGGTCCTGTAAGGTTTCAATCCCTGATATACCCTTTGCAACTACAATTGCCTGCATTTCTCATGATGTTGCAAGGCTATACTTTAGTTGTTTTTTCTGGTAGAAACCACCAAATCTAAGCAATAGTAATACAGTTGCATGAACAAATTTATACGGTGATGGGAAAACGGGCACTTGTTCAACATGGACTATGAGATTTGTTTAGCTTTTCTCACCGATCATTTTTGGGTATTGTAACCCAACTAAGTATGTATATATATTATATATATACATGTTACATGTTCATATGATGATACACACATTGAATTTGATACTTCCTATTGGTGTCAATTGGTGTATTTATAATCAGTGTTTGCAGAATAGTAAACAATTTAGAACCAAGGGTATGAGCCCTATCTCCACCCCTACTATGCTATTCTATATGAACTTTCCAGAACCAACTGAAACATATATAATAGGTAACAATGCAACAGAAACAAAGCAATATAAACAACATAGAAAAAAAAAACAAAAACTATGAGTATAGAAATAAGCACAATTTATCAAAAAACATCACAACACACTGTAGAAACTATTTATTTAACACAACTTTTTAAGACCCCTTGCAGCAACCGGTACTGAAGCTGAAACATACCAATTATGCTGGACTACAGGGACATCTCCCTCATGGAGAGTGTGCCTCTAGTGTGACATCCCCGCCAGTGCTGAACAAAAGGGGCGCAGCGTTTTCCTCTCCCACTACACCTTTCGTCCGCCTCTGCTTGCTCTCAAGTCTTTGATGTTTTTTGTCAAACTAGACATATCGGGGGCATACCGGTTGCCCCATTTTCAGACGCGCCAAAATCAGTGAAACTCCACAATTCTTCGGTTCTTAAATAATGTCAACTCATGTTAAAACATGTTACATTCATGTTAAATCATATTAATTTATATTAATTTCATGCTATAACATGTTCGGGAACATGTTAAATTCATGTTAATTTCATGTTAAATTCATGTTAAATTTATGTTGAATTCATGTTGAATTCATGTTGAGTTCATGTTAAATTCATGTTAAATCATGTTAAATTCACGTTAAATCATGTTAAATTCATGTTAAGTACCCAATTTTTCTTGGTTCCATTTCTGCCAAAGTATAATTTCTCCATTTCCACAAACTCCATGCCATCCGTGAGGTGAATCTCTGGACCTTTCAGGTGTTGCTTACACACTGTGTAGGCTTTGATGTGTATGTTTCTTGGAGGCCTCGTACTGTGAGTATTGGGTAGTATTGGGTACTGTAGTATTGGATCGTATTGGATCGTATTGGATCGTATTGGATCGTATTGGATCGTATTGGATAATGGTATTTTGATTTTGGTGAGTATTCAGAGTGCCGGTGTTTTGTATTTCTGTTGTATCGTGAGTGTTAGCGTGTATTGTGCAGTGGTTCAAGAGGTTCAAGAACGAATCCCAATTCAAGTATCAAACAGCGGAACAATGCACGGGCGCTTTAGTGAAAAAAACGACGGTGGGAGAGTATTGTACTGTACGCGTTTCTTGCAACTGAAGAAATGAAATCCCCCTCGGCAAACGGAGCAACCTTGTCGAGTATTTGCCCTGCCTTCACCACTTGCAAACACCTGTGAACATGCTGCTACACCCCAGACCTGTGGTATAGAAGAACTTTGTGTCAACCTATTTCTACTTGTACCCTTAAGGGACAGACATCCGCTAAGCAACTTAACACTTGATCTAGTCGACTAATCCACGGAAACTTACTTGGATCGTGGGGTCATCAGCTACTGTGATAACTATCTATTGGATTCTATTGGACATTATCCGTGGACGGGTCAAAGCTGATAAAACTGTACGTCAAAAAATCTAGTTCACCATTTTAGATACCAAAATTGGGGTCGGAAATTTCCACCCACTGTTTCGAACTTGAGGGGGCCGCCGCAGCCAGCCGGAGTTCCTATCCAGGCTGCGATTGGGATGTGTGCTGAACCTGCTGATCTACTTTGTTTATCTTTATTTTGAGTCAACCATCAAGGAGACCAAGCTTTCCCCCAACATTTTTTGTTTGGTGGACATCCTGACATCCTGTTTTTGTGAGAGAACCATCCATTCTTTTCAAATTAGGGTTTGCAATCTTCTTAGATTGTGCCCTCCATCAGATGATGAGGTTTGGCAGGGGTCCTTATCTAGGTCCTTAAAATTTCCCAATTTCTGGCATTCTTTACTTAGGGGGAAGTCGTGCACGGAATTCCTGGGTTGATGGGAAAGCATCAAGTGAGTGATCTGTGGTGTTATCAGCAGCACCAGTAGCATCACCACCACCAAAACCATCTACCGCAAGCATCAAGTGAGTGAGCTGTGGTGTTATCAGCAGCAGCAGAAGCATCACCACCACCAAAACCATCTACCGCAAGCTGGGGTGTTCTTCTCTGAATTATGGCTCGAAAGAGCAGCAGTGCTTGGCATCACGATCACTTGCGGTCTTATTTTCGTATAGGTCCATTTCACCTCGGTCGCCGGGGCTTCTTCCATAAACTTTGATATGACTATCTTTCATGATTGGTCCTGGAACTCTCCAACGTCAGCCGCTGCCTGGTGCAGGGGCCAAAACTGCCAGTGGCATGATGTTAAGGGCCGCTGCACTAGTTGAAACCGAAGAGCTGCAGAATTGCCTTCGAGTTCGCAAATCTTTGCGCTGGTTGGCAGTGGACAAAAGGTGCACCGACTTGCAGAAATCCTGCTCTTGCAGTGGGCAGGGCTTCAGTGCTGGATTGGCCTCATCACGAAAATACGCCGTGTTGAGTTTCCAGACCCAGATGTTAAGTATTCTGCCCCACTTTTTGTCAGTGCAGTGGGCATCATTGCCACCAATCTGCTTGGCCTTGCGCATTTCTTATCGGAAAACCTCGCGGTAGATGCCTGCCGTTGACTTGGACACACCATATCTGGCATGCAAGCACGGCTTGCAGGTTGTGAAGGGCCCTGAGCGGGACAAGCTTCGCATCAGGAACTCAATCTGGCGAAGTCTCCCACTGGCCATGATTTCATTTGTACTGTCCATGCGCTCTCTTGCAGAGATTCCATGAGATTCCAACATGCCAAGCGTTTGCTACCCTTGGACAGACCTTGCAAACCAATCGTCTTTTTGCAGAGGATTTGAATGACCAGGGCTTGGACATCCTTCGCCTCAGCCGCCTCAAAAACATGCGCAAGACGATGAACGTTGCGAACATGTCATCAGCAGATGAGGCGCCTCTCAGACCTCTTGCTTCTAAACTGCTGGAATTGCAAAGGGCAGGTTGGGCTGCCACACATTGCGACGAGTCGGCGTGGGAGTATGTCATTCTGTCATATAGTCAAGTTCACAATCATGGATGCTTCAACTTTTTCTTGTGCGTGATGGAAGTGAGGGCGGCCCAGGTTCTGGAACCCTTTTTGTTTTGAATTCTCTTCTGCACGAGCAGGTAATGGAAGCCTCTTCTCCACCATGCCACAAGAAAATCGTCCCGGGGCAAGTACATTGGTGTCAGAGTTTCTCCTGGGATCTGATTCTGAGAAAGTTTCTTCGGGAATCCAATCGGGGCGAAAATGATTGGAACATATTAGAAACAAATGGTATCAGTGCAGCCAAGCAGGCCCTGGAAAGTTGAACTTGGCAACGCTGTTCCGGTAGAGATCAAGCCGGGTTGGAAAGTCCACGCAGACTTTCCTTTTGATGCTCGTAGCAGCGCTGTCAATCTTGAAAAAGATCCTGGAGAAATGCGCTGTGAAACACCCTGTGCTTGCCGGTATTGTGTCCTTCTATGTTCTGTTCTATGTGGTCAGCCTTGTTGCAGCATTTCTGCAACAGCACCTTTAACAAGGGGCCTCGGTGCTGCTTTTGAGCCAGTTGTTGGGGAGATGCTGAAGGCCATGAAGACGGGTGGTTGGTCACAGCGCAATTACCAAAAATGGGCGCCCAAGGTGATTGCCATTGCCTAAGCAACCATGGTGCCAAAGATTGGGGGTATGCTGGGAAATACTACCGGCACTTCGTTGGAGTTTGTCCCTTTTCCTGATGCGCTTTGCCGGTTCGTTGTCTCAGCGATCCTTGTGCTTACTGTGGCACCTCACTTGTTTCTTGTCTCTCCTCAGGCGTTTGTGGGCCTCTATGGTTGGTTGCTGACCACTCAGAGAGGTGTGAGAGCGGAGCATCTGCGATCAAAGGACGTTCCATCATTATTGTAATATTATTGCGTCTCGAACTCTTGTACTTGCTGGGATTAGTGGCCCTGGGGCGGGATGGGGCGGAGCTCAGTGGATGCTCTAGCAGTGCAATGCTTTATTGCTTTGATTGTGGGCACCACGGTGGATGTCAGTATTCCATATATGGACTAGTTGGTCCTTTCGCGATGTTTGCCGTGGCTCAGGCTCAGAGAAAGGAACTTGCGAGCCACATTTGCAGAGGGGCTGTTCGTCTTCCGTGCCGGCTATGACTATCTCTATGAATACTACTATGGCACTTTTAAGCAAACTCCAGTGCAGGAACCCTAGCAGACGCAAGAAGGGCCTTGCCCGTCAGGCCAGGTCATGGTGCAATTGGCTGATGCTGTTATCAGGTTGCAGTTTCGGAGAACTGGTCGGCTTGTTGATGCCTTCTCTGACGATGGGAGTCACGATTTTTTGGCGGCCTCGGTCGAGAACTGTGAAGCCATCGGGAGAACACGTGTTTGTGAAAATTAAGACACTGCCTCTTTATGCCTCTTTCATAGGCAAACATCATGAATCACCCGAGGGCTAGATTTAGAGAGAACATAAAACAAGGAACCGCTTCAGGGTCATTATGCCTGTCTCTTGATCCGTATCATGCGTTTTTGCTGTGTGTTTGCAATTTGTTTAGTGCATGAGCATTTGCATTGTTAGTTGCTAACTGTTCGTGGTGGAGTTTTTCAATTACCCGACGTTGCCCCAATATTTCCCAGCAACCACATGGTTTGCTAACATAACAGCATTTAATATCACAATATGCCAACCATGTCCCACTCACATGTTGCAAAAGGGATCGCTGGCAAGGTGCAATGTGGCGGTTGCAGGCGGCATCGCTGCTGGGAAGTGGATGTTGCACCGATTCGTAGAAATGGTTTAACCATCAGACATGTGGATTAACCATCAAACATGGTGAATGCCACATGGTTTAAGTGGTCGGATGTAAGGGAACATTTACAACAAACCATTTTTGTTTACCCGCAAGTAAAGTTTTTTTTTTTGGTAGAAAAATTCCGTTCAACCAATTCTGGGATTAGACTGGGACGCTGCTATTTCGACAGTGGGAATGGTGAGAAGAACACCTGCAAAAAAAAATAATTGGATAAAATAGATGGTCCTGGTACATTTTGGCTGCACGCAAGAATCCTGATCCTCTAGCTGCATGATCATTGTTTCCCTGGCAAACCATGATACAAAGGCCCACTTTGATTCATTTGGGTTTGTCTTAAAATAGGGTAATTACCCCACAATTGGCAATTGATCATCATGTTTCCTAGTTCTTGCATGGCCATGAAAGTTTAGATCTAAACCATTGTTTTCACTTTTCATATTTTTCATGTCTAATATCTCATCGAACATTTTCCCCATGAAACCTGGTCAAAATTTGGATGTTACAGTTGAGTGCACCATTTTTAACCTCCTAAACCCACCTCCTGAGCAGGCAAGTCTTTGGTGTGCCACAGCGTGGCATGGCTGCTGGGGAGCCCAGAAAGACCCTCCGAAGGTGACAAACTTTGAACTGAGTTCACGAAAAATTGGGGACTCGACATCCAAAAATGGCTGATGTTTAGTAGAGAAACATAGAGAAACCCTCAAAATCTTTGTGAAAATTTCACTTTTTCGGGGGTGGGGTAACCTCCCACCTGGTATGGCATCACCGAGGTCATGTGCCCCTTCTGCCAGACTGTGAACAATGTCTAGGCCAGGAATGTTCACTATGGGGTTGGTAAATGTCCAGTGATTTTGAACATCACTTTCAGCCGTATTTGTTGGAGATGATATCCCCAAGAGTTGGGCGATGTTCAATTAGCACATTTACCAACCCCTGTATATGAGTGTAACTGATTGTATATTGTAGAATTATGATGAATAATGTGCAGTAGATATATTCAAAATGTATCCGCAGGGATTGGGGCCCATGAGATACAACCGCTTGGTCGGTTCAAGTTTGTTTTCTTTCTCTATATGTTTCATCCCACCTTGGCGATCCCAAATGCTCTCCAACAATTGCGGTCTCAATGGGTCTGGCAAATGAGTGACACGAGAATTCATTTTTCACTAGTGTGAAACGACATTTTCTTTCAATACGCATTTGGCACAGGGAATCATACTACAGGAAAGTTGTTGGCATACGTGTGGTGTTTGGCACTGACCACAGCATCCCACAGCAGTGCACATTCTTTTGCAGGCACTTTGTACCAACTGCCTCAGAGCACGTGTTCGCTGCCATGACAGCGGGCTTCTTTGTTCCCGTGTCTTCAAGATAGTGTTCTTCGTTTTGCCAGTTCTGTGTCTTCCCACGATGTTTTCATGTTTGAGAATGCTTTGGGAAAAGAATACGCTTACAGCTTACGTGTGACTGCCTCGATGTAGTTGCTAGAAGATTCGCTAATGCGAATTGCGTGAGAGCTGGCAATCTGCATCACGCGTTTGGCTCTGATGCAACTGGTGGATGATGTGCGATCAGTTGGAAGTTGTTGGAAGTATGGATCAATACCTATGAAAATACCATTTTTAGTGGGATGAACATCCATAAATCCCAGCTATTTTGATGTGAACTACAGGGGTACTATTGGTTTTGACACACTGCCATGTTGATCAACTTTTAATCCAGATCAAGACTGACCAACACAATGTGACTCGCACATCATGCCGCTAGCGTTTCGAGTCCGGACAAGTGTCCAACTACACGACATGTTTTTTAGAACACGGTAACAATGCTAACATCAACGGACAATGACCCTGAACAATTTGATGATCTAAATGATGGAAACGAGTTCTAACATGTTCTAACAAGGTGAACAATGCGTTTACAAACATGTCCACCCTCTGGTGCTAAGAATCTGAAACGACAGCTGGATCCGCACTTGTCACTTCAGGCCCCACCCCGACATGCTTTGCCTCAGCACATCCAAAAAGAGCCAGCGCCGGGAAGCGAGGATCCTTGTGGAGCCGTTTGATGGCACCGATGAACAATTTTGGTCATGAGAATCAGATGTCCTGTTTACCCGGTTGTGTTACTACAGAGGGGGTTTTGTGCAAACCACACCAATGCCTTAGTCTGACTTTCTGAGAGCATGATGTACTGGTTTGATTGATCTACTGTTTTGATGCTTTATCATGCTTTATCTGATTTGATGATATTTGATGTAGAAAGCATCAGGTGCACCCAAATCAGATTCAAATGTTATAGATGCTATCGATGTCCTCAAACTACAGTCTCGGCATAGTCACTACAGTTTTCACTGAGGTAGTGGAGACACCAAGCCCGAGCACCTTGGATTGGTCAGTTGCGGTGTGGGAGATGTCTGTTTTTAGTTGGCTTCCCAACTTGGAGACAGTGGAGACATACCCGAGTCATATCGAGTCATGACATCATCACCCGGCCGGCATGCCTACCTTATCCCAACTTCGACGCTACGCCCAGTCGTTGACATCCCAGGAGTACTGGACGTTCCACCCAAGATCACCAAAGAGGGGTCAGAAGGAGCTGTTGGTGATGGATTTTGGAAGTTTTTCGGGGGATTTTGCGAATGGCTCATGGATTTTGGATGAGTTTGGTGGGTATCATGGTCTATTCATGTCTATTCCCACTAGTCTTGGCCTTTAGATGATGTAGAATCATGTAGTTTTTTTTCAATATCTTAGCAACATCTCAAGCAATATTGGTACTTATTGGTACTTATTGGTCATATCCTCCAGCATGGCTTCCCCATCAGAGCTCCCCTTGGCCAATCTCCAGGGTTGGGGATCTCCAGAAATGGCCATCCGGGCCGAAGCCCGGGGTGTATATAAATGTTGATCAAACAACTCATAGAGGGAATCCAACCAGTTTGGTTGGTGAACGGAACATAACGGAACCAATTTTTAATTCATCATATGTTTGATGACATGATGGTGAAATCATGGATAAATCTCCATATGTTTCATCATTTTCGATGGTAAAACTCCAGTGATCCAACAGACTCCTGGTCCAATCCTTGCAGGCAGCTCTCAGCCTGTGTCGACTCCCACCGCAGAGGTGGAGGTGAAGAGTTTAGCAGTGGATTAAACCATCAACTAGGATCAAATGAGTTTGTCTGAAAATAGGGTATATTCCCAATGAAATAGCCATTTAAAAACGGGATAATGATCAGCAAAACCATTGGGTAAAAAGGGGTACACTATTTTCAGACACACCCAAATAGTGATTCAGAACGCCAAACATTCAAACCAAATGAATCCACATGATATGTGGCACGTTGTGCATCAAATTGTTCATCAAACGTGGGGATTTTACCAATGAAGAATGTATTTGGGTATATACTCCTTCACGGGCCATTTTAATAGCGAAACAGATGATTAAGCAGTGCCCGATTTTCGGCCAAACCCATATCATTTGGGATTCATAGCTGAAAGTCACCATATATTGTGACTCCGTTTACCCACCAGAGTAGTGACAAATAGTGACAATATCTGAGAATATGTGACAATATGTGATCATATGTGATAATCCACCATAGAGCCAGGGGTCAAATGAGTCATTGAGTGAGATTTTCCGGGTCTACTGCATAGGCATCATTCGAAATTGCCGTCCCCAGTCGGAGGTTTATGGCAGGTTTACCACATGACTGACTGATTTGGACATGTTTTACTGTCAAAAAACAAGATACCAACAAAGATGTACTTAAATGTTTCAACATGTTTCAACTAGTTGATCTGGTTGGTGGTTTGGAACATGAATTTTATGACTTTCCATATCTTTCCATATATTGGGAGAATCATGATCCCAACTGACAAACTCATATTTTTCAGAGGGGTAGGTATACCACCAACCAGTGATTGTCTTTTGTTTCTTTTCCACACTCGTTTCGTGTTTCCATCACTGGTCGTCCCTGAGAATTTCGCCAAGCTGGGCCAAGCTGCCAGGCAGCGGAAGCCGAACCTACACCGAAGTCAGGTAGATCAGGTAGCCGCCGCGGCTCGGTCGTTGTGCCCATTTTTTCAATCTTATCAGCCAGGCCAAGGTTTAAAACCTCATATGGAATCCCCAATGAAAATATATGAAATAGCCTTAAAATGAAGAAATGCCATGGTTTCAAAGCTCATTTTCTCGATGTTTCTTGTGATAATCTCAATTTTGGCGGTAATTATCTCCGATGTTGGTTGGACTTGTCCAGATATATAATCAGGGAGTGCGCTGATCACTTTCCAAGATTACCAGGTAAGTGACATGAGACTATACTGGCCATTTGCTATCCACATCCAAAGAGCTGTACAATCACCTATACAATTAGCTCTACCATCAGCCTTCATCAACTATCATGAGCTGTTTTTTAATCTCATTTAATCTCACATCACAAATCTCATTAAATGTTCCCCAAAAAACCTGATTGCATATTGAAAGCATTTTCACAACCTCTGGGAGGCTTTGAACTGGCGAGTCCCTCCCAGTTGCCGCAGACATTGGCAGAGGCGCGACAACGTGATCTCGAGGAGTGGCCTACCGTGGCGGGGGACAGAAATCAGGGGTGATTTTTATGCATGTTTTAGTAGGAAACATCCAGTTCTTGGGGGATTTTTGGGGTGATGTCGATTCATTTTCAGTAGGAACTTTTTTTTTTGGTGGGGGTGCTGTAGAGATTTTTGACTCATCGCCAATGATTTCTCAAGAAATGGTGCCAGAGAAAAGCACATTTTCTCATGCGGGGATGGACATCGCTATGTTTGGACACCCAATTCTTGGTGAAGGGTCAAACTCAACTGAATTTACCCTGGAATTGAAAGAAGAGATTCGGGATGTCGATCCACATGTCCAGCTACATTTATTGCATTTTATTGCCAGATCAAATGTTTCCCGGCTAGTTTTAAACATGGCTGACATATGTAGGAAGCGTGCGTTGGGTAAGTGCAGCAGATGTACACCGCTGTGAAAGCCGTTGTGTCTTTGTCACTGCTGAGTTTTGGAGATTGACATGACGCATCCGCCTGGCAGAGCAATATTTCAATAATAATGATACATAAAAACATATATATAGTTAAGTTATATTTCATTACGTTCTATTATAAATCTATATAATACATATATATATAATAGAGTAATCATACTAATATACACTAATTATAGACATCATCTACAAATCACACATTGCATTGCCGCATTGCAGGAAACTCTGCCGCCGGGGCCCGCATCACCGGTCTTTGCGATGCCGGAGGAGCTGAGAAATTGAGCGCTGCGGAAGCTCAACGCCTGTTCGGTCGGTGATTAGTTGGGGGGTTCGATTCTTCAATATTCTTCCATACATATGTATGTAAATATATAATATTAATTAATATTATATATATAATTATATATAATATTGAAGATTATGATTAACATCATCCATGAACAGGGAACCCCTCTTGACCAACCAGTCAAATGGGGTGACAGAGAGATCGCAGAAATCCGAGAGTTTTTTTTGTTTGAGTTGGAGGAAAAAATGGAATATCAGATGATCAGGCGATGGGACAGATAGGAAATGATTGAATATATTATGAACACTATAATATAAACATATATAAACACTACACATATGTATATATATATATATATATTATACATATATACATAACAGAAGTAGCATAGACCCTACACTAGGGGGTTGGAAGACCATTTTTTCGGAAAAAAAACTCGCCAGGAGCTGCCAGAGAGTGAGGTGTCTCAGACACCTGCAGAGACTCCCCTGAGGCGTGCAGCCACCTGCAGGACCCGGGATTTTGGTCGATATTTATCTATATTTTATATAATATTAACCATCCAATCATTCGGGTACCCAGTTTTGAACCAGAAACAATTTGGTGCTATGTTTTGGTATGTATTGGTATGTTTTTTTTGACCAATCGTTAGATTTGATATTCTTTGGATGGTAATATTTGATCAACCAGAATAGCTGGGATAACTGATTAGATGTCAACTATGAGGTGGGAACGAAAAATTATGGTTATATGATGCTTATTACATGCGTATGCCCTCGAAAAACAGAATGTCGTCTGGGGTTGGATCTGTTGGGGGGTACAACCCCATAGAAACTTCCCATAATATGGTCCGCAAGCAAATGGGTGTAAACAATAATCATAACAACTATATGGTGCTTACCAAGACTGGGAACATGACAAACAGTAGTGGGAGTATCACTGACAAATCTCGTTTGTGGTTTTAAACGTGTAGGATGTTTTACATTTTTTTTCATGGGTGATGATGATGATGATGCTAATTTATATAAAAATTGTGTGTTTTGAGACGGGTTACTCAACAACCAACCACACAGAGAGCCTAGTTTTCTAGTCAGGATAAGTTTCCAGCAGCCGGCAACAAGTGTTGGGTATTGAATGGTCAATGCATGCTAGACCATGCTTTTTGATGGAAGGTGTTTGTTTGACTTTTTTTAATGGATTTCCAGAAGACACATCCGGTATCAACAATTGTTAACGATGATAGTCATGTAATCCCACCATAATTGGTTGCTTCTTGGTTCCCGTGTGTGTATATATATAATGTAAATATTTTTTATTTATTTACGGTATTACTACGGTATTAGGCATCATTAAACATCCTTAAACATCCTTAAACAGCACGCATAGTCCCACCATTAGTTGGTTGGCTAGTGGTGATTCAAGACCAGACTTGCTTGGTTTCCCAGAATTGGTTTAAGGGAGCTGTTCGCAGGGTTTCCCCCCTTTTCTTGGGCGTTTTCCTTTAACTTGGCTTTTCCCGTGACTTTCCCAGAAACCAATCCTCTGGGCAGGTTGGAACCCGCGCCTTGTGCTCAAGGCTCTGAGGTCCGCACCGTGTCACAGGTGTCACAGGCACGCAGCGTGCCTGGGCTGATTATGACTGCTTTCTGTGGTTGTATGGAATATGTTGGGGATATTGTGGGAATATTATGGGCAACATTATGTTATATATTATGGGATATAATGGGGGAATCATGGGATATAGTATTAATAATATATAACATTACACAACCAACAATTATGATGGTGTTTGGGTCTGTCTGAACAGGGGCTATACCCCCAAAAAAGTTGCATCTTTGGTGACCATGATGATAACCAATTGATTTTTTGGGCACTTCTATGCGGTTGTATCCCAAGGTGGAATCTTGATGACTCCATCTAGGTGATCCATGTGCCAGTCATATTTCCCAGTGATGTTCCCAATATATTTTCAGACATTTCCCAATGATATGTTCACCATCTTTTTCATTATTCTCCATATATTTCTGGGCACCAACCTCGATGTTAGCATCACAATTTCCATATGGTTCTCCGAAAATATGATCTTCCGACTTCACATATATATTATATATATAATTATATATATATATAATTATATATATATATAATTATATATAATATATATCTATCTATATATACAATATTTGGGGGGTTCCACCAATGGTGGTACCCCAATAGCTGGCTGCTTTCATGGACAATCCGACCATCTGCCAGGACGAGGTCGTCCCCTCGCCCGCCTCGGAGCCGGCGCCGCCCACGGGGCCCGAGTCGCCGCCGCCCCGGACGCCCAGCCGCTGGGATGCCCAGGGGTGGGACGTTTCAGAGGGAAAAAAATTGTGACGTTCACCTTGAAAAATGGTGATTTACCCTCTGGTAAACTAACATAACTATGGAAAATCACCATTTTTAATGGGAAAATCCACTATAAATGGCCATTTTCAATAGCTACGTTAAATTACCAGAGGGTAATTTAGAGTGAAGAACTAGCAATTGAGACGGAACAAGTGGTGATTTAGACGATTTAGCTAGAAGAAGTAATTAGTGACTTAGACCGAACGAATGGTGAGTTTGCCAGTAGAAAGAATTAATCAATGATTTTGACTGAACATATGGTGATTTTGCCAGAAGAATAGTGATTTAGCCAGAAGAACTCGTGATTGAGACCGAAGAAAAGGTGATTTTGACTGTAGAACGATAAGTTATTTAGCAAGAATACATAGTAATCGAAACGGTGGTTATTTAGACTGAACAAATGGGGATTTAGCCACAAGCAATAGTGATTTGGACGGAATAACTAGTGATTCGGACTGAACTTTGTCATTTATCAACCATGAAACACTGGGATTCCACTTGCTATATAGGATATGGATGATTTCGCGTGATCTCAATGTTTCGGACTCCAAAATCTCATAGTTTTCCCATCAAAGCTACAAAGCTACAACCGCACCAGTGTCACGGAAAGGCGACTAGTTGTCAGGCCATGAGATCGACTTTTGACCCCTTTATCATCATATACCCTCTGGTAAACTAAAACTATGGAAAATCACCATGTTTAACGGGAAAATCCACTATAAATGGTCATTTTCAATAGCTATGTTAAACTACCAGAGGGTACCCATACTGCATTTGTTGGATGTTGGTAGGTTAAAAAAAAACGTCCGTATCGAACAGAAGATTTCTAGTTGCCATTCGTTCGCAAAGGCTCTTACTCTCCTGTGGATCCAAAAAGGATTGACATGGATGTCTTTGTGACATACAATTCAACCTTATAGTTGATTAGTCAAACATGGCAATAGTCAATCCCTATAAATGTAGGCTTTTAGATACATCAGAAGATCGAACTAAATCGGGAAGTTCGGAGCAGGCCATGTTTTGTGACTGCAGGGTACATGATTTGGGAGACATGTAACATGCTATCCTTTCGTGTCCATTGCAGTTTCACCTCAAACTCGCACAAATCATTACAAATCTGCAAATGCATAGGACAATTCAATACAATTCATACACTCCTGATATTTCCAACATGGCTATGATTCTTCATGATTCTTCTATGTTTTGCACCCCAAGGCGGATTTAGGACTGGGGGTTCACATATAACCTTGAGGATGATCGAATACTAACGCACTTACCATAAAATGGTAAGCAATATTTTTTATAAAATGGTTACAACATTTCAAAAAATGGTTGAGAAATTAACGTTTATAAAGTGGTAACACACTCGTCTCTTGAATATATGATATACCCTTCTAATTTTCAATGCAACTTTTGATTATGTTCGTTACAGCGGTCGAAACTAAGAGTATACAACATTGTATAATCACCACCCCTTTAGGCTAATTGCAAGCAGGGGGGCGTTCCAAAAATGTAGATTGCAATTTTGCCCCCTCGGAATTTGACCGCTGGGGTCATGCTAATTGCAAGCGTGGACCCCCCCAACGTCAGAAGCCGAAGCCAAAAGTTTTTACATTTAGAGAGGGGGGGGGATGAAAAATAAAAGCACGTAAGAGACCGGTCACCCCGTACCCCCCCCGAACCCCCCCGAACCTACCCCCTTCGGACATTATGGAAGGGGGGGGGAGGGAGGTAACAATTGTAAAATATCTGACGAATTGTCCGAAAACAGTCTCCAAGAAGTTTGCAGATGTTTGTAATCAACCTACACCAAAGGTCCATATTTCCTTGCAGAAACAGCTCAAAGTAGATGATAAAATCAAGATAAATCCATGTAACCATCCTACATCTAAGGTCCTTATTCACTTTGAAATTTGATGGGGTACATTTGAGGTCCATTTGAGGTACATTTGAGATATATTTGAGATCATTTAGGTGCAGAAATGGCTCACTTTTTTTTGATATGACTTGGCTCTGGAAAGCAAAGCCAGATTCTTTGCCTCAATTTCAAGTAAGCATCCATTTACAAGTGGTTTTCTTATATACACTGCAAAGCAGTGAAATGATGGATCTACCATGCATTTCCTGGTTCTGCAGGGGTTGAAGCTTACAGTCAAACAGGATTACTCTCCAACCTACATTTTCCCTTTTCCAAAATCCAGTAGCATACCGATCCGATATTTTCACCTTTTTTTTGCACCTTTCTGCGACATATCCTCAGGACCTTTTCAAAGATCCCGAAATTCTTTGCTTCCCTTCCTTTCTTACATCTTTCGGGTTCCTTACCTCCTATGTGATGCTTCTGTATTGTCTTCCCGTCTCGTTTATTCTGTCAAGTTTTTGGAGGGGACTGTTGTGAACCTGTTTCTGCAAGTAAATGTGGACCTTAGGTGTAGGATGGTTTCATGGGTTTATCTTGATTTTATCTTTTTTTTTTTTTGAGCTGTTTCTGCAAGTAAATATGGACCTCAGGCATATGATGATTACATGATTTTTACACCTGTGCTGAATTAATTTCTCATTGGCAGGAGGCAAATTTGAAGACCTCCAACATCTATTTTTACATTTATTGAATTTCAAGGATTTTCCAATAATTTGCAAGGAATAATATACCTTCTATAAATCTATATTACATGTGTAAATAATGAAAAAGTGTAGAATTCATTGAAAATAACAGGCAATTGAGGCCCTCAAGGGATACAGATTGCAATTATGATTTTATGCAATTCTGCAGCTATTTGCAGACCTCCAGACTATTGTTCTTGCATTTTTTTCCATGTTCTTACATTTGTTTCCGTAAAATGCAACTTGCAATATTGGACGCCCCCCCTGGAAAATAATTGCAAGTCGGTAAAACGTGGGGGTACATAATTGCAATCTACGAACCTATCAAAATGCAATCTTGCAATAAAGACGATGAAAAAAAAATAATTGTAAGCATACATTTTCATAGGTCCCCCCAAAACAACGTCTTATTGCAAGCTTGCATTTTGAGCGTCCCCCCTCCTCAAAAGGGTGGTGATATTGTATATATATATATACACATATATATATATATATACGTAATTATACACTACCAATGTGTTTTCTTTCCATATGTTAATCAAGCACTCTTAGCTGTTTATAGGCATTATTGACAGGATACATGGCTATCTGCTGTCAACCACTTTTTGATATCCCCAATTTTGGGATAGTTTGATACCTCCATAGAGTACCAGTATATCAACATGGTTAATATTAATTCACAATATATTTACCGGTTTATCTCCGTAATATATATATACACTATGTATATATATATATATGTATATATATATGCATGTATGTATATATATATATAGATGTATGTATATATGTATATATGTATATATATAGATGTATGTGTATATATATATGCGGAAGCGGATGTGTGGTTGGAGTTGAATATCAGGATGATATGTTGTAAATAGGGTAAAACCCTCACCAAAAGGCAATACGCTCGCAAGCGTCACTTTTCCATCTCACGCCACAACGATCCAAGCCTAGCAAGGCTTCAAGGGGCCCCTCGGACCATAGATGGCAACGTATGAATGCAATCAGTTGCAAAGACCTGACAAGGCAATGATGTGGAAACATCCAAGGCAACATGCATTTTCTCACGCCCTCTTGCCAGCTATGCCACGAGGCTTATATTTTTGTGCCTTTCCGGCTGCACATCATGCAAAGCGACGGGTAAATGCCACGTCTGAGTTGAAAGCTTTCCATCCTGAGCGCTGCAAGAATCGTGCCAGATCCTTACCTGGAGTAATCTTCTCATCGGATGGTGTCACACCTGGCTTAAAACCATATTTATCAACAAGCCATTTCAAGTACTTCTTACAATCGGCATCATGCTTGGCACGCTGCACTAGCTGATCATATTTCAAATTCTCTTCTTTATACTTATCAGTTTCACAAAAGCACTTGCCCCAGATTTCGACACTTTCAATGTCGCTGGGAAATGGAATGCGGATGTCCTCACGGACTTCATCCATGGCACGGAGGTGCGGACTGCGGCTTTCCATCCACGGTGCTGGAACATTGCTATCTCCATACGACAGCTTGTCCATGAATGCAGCTTCGCTGAGTTCCTCACGGCTGGCGGACACCTTGTCCCAAGATGCAGCTTCATCATCATCTTCTGATAAGCGGCGCTTGGAGGCATCACTCATAGAGGAGGGACCTGGCAGATTCGGCATGACTGCACTGTGAAGGTCTTGAAGGACAGTTGATCCTCCCACCCAGTAAGCTTTCGAATTCGGAGCACCACGGATTGTGTTCATGATGTAGTGACTTTGTCCATGTTTGACGGCGCGCAAGAGCAAACCTGAAGCCATTGCGACCTCATGATCACTCAATGGACCATCTGAGACAGTTTCCACACGGGCTGTCTTGCTGGAACTCATCACAGGCAACGCGGTTGGGCCTATTTGGAAAAATTGTCGATCGTTACACTTGGCTGCAAAACGGCTGTACTGATTTTTCAGTTGACATCTGGCTCAAGTGGTTTATAGTTCGACTGAGAAAAATAACAAAAACTTGGCTTCCTTGAATTTCTCTAAGGATCACTGCGTGTGATTTGCTTTTTCGTCAAGTGAATTCAGGAACATTGGGGCTGTGCAGAAACTATCGACTTCACGATAACTGCCTATACAAACAGTCCTTATTTATTCCTATGGGGATTATTTACCCTTTACATTTCATGCATGTGGCACCCTTCGCAGAATCACTGCGGTGACTGCTGTGGTGGCATTTGCGGCACATTCTTTTTCTTGGCAGTTTCCTTCCTTCCGGATTCTTCGCACAACTTGATTTGGTAGGTTCCACCTTCCAAGATTTCAAACAGTGGACGTGTGTCTCCTTTCAGCTTTGTGAGAGCATCAGCTGCCATGCGAAGGTTATTTACCCAATAGGCTAAGATCCATTGGTTGGTCATAGTTTCACGGGCTATCGCATAGTCAATCATGAGTCTTCTTTCAACTGAAATAGATTGCGAACAACAACTTCTCGTCACTGCATCATAGAAACCCTTGCTATCAATGACAAGTGCTGACGGAACAGAAGGTTTACTTTCCCGAAATTCTTTGGGGCTCTTTCCATGGAGGAGCTCACTCAGCAATGCTTGGAGAGACTCGATGGCATCAAGGCCGTTCTGGCCGGCAAGTGTTTCCGCAGCTACGGAACTGCGAACCATGCGTCTGAGCTTCTTGCTGGCCCAGTCTATGATCCAACATGGAGCACGTTTTCTCTCAAGTATTGATTTATGAGCAAGGCACAGAATATATCCCCCTTGACTCTCCCCACTACTACGGGTTCCCCATCCAGAGTCCGAAATGCATACAATCCTCCAATCTTCGATGGCTACATTGCTAGGAAAACGTAAACAGACTCTACGTTCTTTCATCTCTCGGAGTGATTTGTTATACAGTTGAACATGGGAAACTTGGCCTTTGTCCTGAACTCCCTGCAAGTATGATGACAAGAAACTCTGGTCTGGACGGGTCGCATTTGACACCCAGGCAAGTTGACCGGCGCAGGTCCTCAAGATACTTGGATCACTTAAGGTGGTTCCGGCACTTCCCAAAGCTTTTGTACTAACAGGTTCTAAGGAGTCGATGTAGCTTTCCTGGCCAATTTCAATGCTGTAGGTTTGTGGGTCCTGTCGGACTTCAATCCCTGTGTACCTGATGGTGAATGTTCGGAAATCTCCAAAAGGTAACTTAGACCTAAGTCTAGTGAGAACTTCATCCATTTCAGGGGTACCCCCACCTAATAAGTCATCAACGTGAACCCCACATATCCCCTTCAACTGGTTTTTGGACCTCAGGTAAAAGAGACAAGGGTCTAGGCTGGATTGGGTTAGTCCGGCCTCTTTCATTTCACGTGTTAACCTCATGAACCAAGCTCTCGGGGCCTCGGCAAGACCATAGGCAGCCTTTTCAAGGCGGTAAACGTCATCGTCCGTCAATGACATCCACTGCTTGATCTCAGGTGGTGGTTTGAAGTAAAGTTCTCTAGATGATGCATCACCGCTGAGGAATGCGGTCTTGATGTCAGCACCCCATAATTTCCATTTCTTGGCGGAACACACAGAAAGTACTACGCTTTTGGTCTCCTTACGTAAGGTGGGACTATCTGTGGCTATCTTTCCTAACATAGGGTCCTGCCATCCAACAAGCACCAATCTAGCTTTTGGGGTCTTTGTTTTTATGTCGGGATCGCTGCTTTTCTTCCAAACCAATACCCATCTAGCTCGGATTACCTTTTCGGGGTCAACACCACGCTTTTTGCACAAGGACATGACTCGATTTTCAACCCAGGATTGCCATTCTTTTTGCATAGCTTTTTCAAAAAGAGCTCTGTCTTCCTTACTGAGCTTACGCAATGATACCTCAACACGTCTTTTGGCGGCTTTGGTTGTGGCTACCTGTAGACATTCATCAAGTACTGACCAAAGGCATAAAGGATTATCGGTGATATCTTCAGGGGTTATATCTATTGATATTTCCATGACCTCGGCTGATTTGATTGGATTGGATTCAGCAATCAGTCCTTCATCATCACTCTGAATGTGTGGAGGTGCATCCTCAGGCACTGTGGTTGTTTCAGTGGATTCCATTGCTGCAGGCGGCTCAGGCATTGGAGAATCGGTTGTCTCCACTGGCACAGGTTGTGGATCTTCGATCTGTTCTGACATGTCATCATCAGGCGGATCTGGAGCAACGGATGGCTCATATGGTTCAGATGGCTCATACTCTTGTTCTTGGGGTTGATCATCTATTCTTACCCTCTTAGAACTAGGCTCATCCCCTGGGATTATCATGTCAGGCATTACACCCTCTTGACGGGATCCTAAAGGTGGTGCACCTGCTGCACGCTTTTTCCAATATTCAGGTGAACGATAAAAACGTTGGGACACCCTACGAATTGGCTCCTCGCCCTCTAAATGACGCTTTTCCCCTTTGTGATCAGCATTGTCGGGTTCATCATCAAGGTCAGAGGCGAGTTCCATGTCATCCTCAACTGGCATGTCATCTGTCAGATCTTGGAAAGATCCAGCATTCTTGAGAGCTACCTGTTCGGCTTCGATGACATCAGGATGGAGTTTGCCTTCTGCAAGATCCCTTGCCAATTGTCGGAAGGTGTCTTCATCTTCTGGGACTGGTCTCAAGGATTCCGGTGCACATTTGTATAGGAAACCGTTGTAAGATACCCAAACTATTCTCGGAACATGGTGACCTTGGGAACTTTCAACACCTACAATTCTACCCGGACCCTGCCAAACACCAAAACGTGTTCTCAACTGACCAGCACCCCTTTTACGATAGAAATATACCAGTTGTCCAGCTCTATAGGGACCACGCATAGGCCTGTTTCTACCCATGATGGCACGTCTCCATGAGTCTTTTGCATGTTCTTCTATGAAGGCTCTTGCAGCTTCTTCACGAAGTCGCATTCGGTCCGCAAAAGTTTCATCGGAAAGGATTTGAGACTGCACTGGAAAATTTCTCTGCTCGGAGACATCACCCAACCAACCAGGCGTTTTGACATCGTGACCAAGGAACCATTGGCAAGGTGAAAAACCATTCTTACGCATGTGTTGATTCCGGATGGATGCACAAGTTTCAATCACTTCATCGGCTGGCCTGGATGTGGTTCTCCAGCATTTTTGTGCCATGCCTCTCAGGACACGGTTGGCGATCTCTAATCTACCAAGTTGCCAGTGTGCCTCTGCAGCGCAATGCAACAGCTTTATATCATGGTGAGCAAGATAACTTTGGAAATCTTTCGACAAGGTGATTTGTGTTGGGTCCATGTACACAATGTCTGGCTTACCATAGGCACGTGTCCATGCGTTGTGAAAAGCTTTGGACAAGGCATTCTTTCCTGGAGGCACGATCACTTGTTGACAGAAATCGGTGGCCATGCAAACACAGGTTGCAACGTTGAACTTCTCTTCATGCAGGTTCCCATCAGGACCTTCTCGTCTCATTTCGACTTGCACAAAGTCAACACCAACAATCTGATTTGGACGTTCAGCATGTGGAACTGTGACCTTCCTATGCAAGACAGGAACCTTGAGTTCGTCGCATACGGAGCATGTGAAGTTCCGGATGACCTGTTTTATGGTCTCGGAGGACTGGCATCTATTTGCAAGGCGCATCATCTGTTCGGGGGACGCATGTCCTGTGTTAACATGAAGCTTGGCAACAATGGCTTTGGCTTTCTCTATTGGAACATCGGACTGGTCGCCCTCCGACTCAGGTGCTATCTCTTGCTCGGATGCTTCGGCTGCAAACAGCTCGTCGGACCAATGATTGTCCGGTGGATTTGACTGCAGGGACTCCTGATTCAAGGCTCTGGCAACAATCCTACAAAACTTCTTTGGATAAACTTCGGCCCAGGATGACAAATTCCTACCTTTATAGCGACCCTCTAAGTGAGCATGTTCATGTTTATGATCACATCTACACTTTTGAAGAGTTCTTGCAAGGTGTGGTGAAGTAGTCACAATCCTGGTGGGTTTCAACACTGGACGATTTGTCTTCGGACACCTGAGACCCATTGCACATTGATCTACACGGATGTCGAAAACTTCACCTAGATCGAGCTCTTGCCAGGCATCGGAACTAAGTGGATTTTCTGCATGGTTGAAACCTCCTAGAATGTTTTGAAGATTCCAGGCTTCTGCAACAGTGCGGAGATACCTACGGTGGTGCTGTCTACGGCTCATGATTTCATCTCTCAATTTTGGGCTTTTACTCATGTTGAACCTACTCCATGGTCCCCAGTCTCCACAAGGCCAACTGTACCAAATGTGACGGGGCCGCGTCAAAGCAATCAAGCACAGAAGGAGCTGTCTGTCTTTGAGGCGGTCGAGGTTTTGGCCATGGTGAATGCCAATTCTGATCACAGTTTGACCTGACTCAAGTTCTAACTGGGATGCCAATGGTGCAACATCGGTGAACACCTCGATCATATGGACAGGCTGCTTCAACTTATGGGCTTGGGGTCCTAACCAGGCACGCAAGTCTCGTTCCACTGTATCCGGTTCACTGAGAACGCGTGAGAGGAGCATCTGTGAACTGGTTTTCCTAAGTGATTGGATACCCTTTTTGATGGCTTCTATCCCTTCAGGTGGTAATTTCTTTTGGGGTTCCGTCCAATCAAGTTCTTCATACATAACTTCCAGTCCTAGACTACCCTCATGGCTATGGTTGCTGGGGAGCATGGAATCATGTTCACAACAACACATGCATGGATGATCCTCATTTGGGATAGGAACGGCTGTTTCAGCTGGCGACTCACGATATGCAAACAAGGCTAGGTTGGTTTGCTGTACTCCTCGTCGATCGGCACCCTTTGGTCGGATATACCAGGGGAGTTCTTGGTAAATACCCTCTTTACTCAAGGTTACCATGGAACACAACATGTCTTTGTCGGATGCGGCATGAGGCATCCTTTCTAATCTTGGGCGATAGGCTATGAATGCATGAGAAATTTCACTGAAAACATCACCAAAGATTTTCCTAAGGGGGTCATGCATGGCGGTCACATCAACCATTCCCCGCTTGGTGTTTTTGGCAATATGTTGAAGTGCACTCCTTTTGTCATTCATAGTTATCCCACTTTTACATTTATCCCTTTTAGTCTTATCACCATATCCTATGAGACCTTGACTATTGGATGTTTTACCAACTGGCTCACTATTTGATGGATTTTGGTCAGAGCAGCTGTCCTCATCGTCGATGACTGCTGGCTCAATGCGGGCAGCGGTAGCAGTTGGCGGTTGATTGGGCTCATGATTGGGTTGGCACACATCGGATTCTACTTCTTCTAAATGAACTTCTTCAGGACTCCAATCTTGAGGCAACTCCCAGAGCGGCATGAGCAAATGACCATTTGTGGCTTGTCTCAGGGCCATGTTTTGAATCCCATGTTTCTCTGAAGTCAGTGTTTTATCCCCCAAGTGGATTTGAGCATTCATTCCCTCCAAGACCCTTCTGGATAGCAAAAAGGCAGTTTTTCCCGGAATCACATATGTTGATATAGTACCCCATGTAGTACCCAGCTTCACATACCAAACCAGACCCTTGGTGGTGGTGGTAGCTTCTCCAGAAAAACCCTTCAGCTCCACAGGCGGCAAGGTCTTCTCTTCAGGAAGAGGGAGTTGATGCTGTTTGAGAAATTCAATCATACGTTCTGCACATTCTTGACCAATCACCGAAGTTGTACAACCAGTATCAACAATAGCAAAACCCATGGGAATACTTGTCAACAGAATTTCCTCAGATAAAACCGTTGTATTGACTTCCACCATGTAGTTGAACTCCGTGATAAAGGATGTTTCAGTAAAATTGGCTTCCTCCTTACGAGCACCCTTCTCAGGCTTTCGTTTGGGATTCCCCTTGGCAGCTGCAGTGTTCTTGCGGTCATACTTGAACTGCTGCTTCTGCAAAGGAACTTGTGCAGATGATCCAGTGGCATCTGAAGACTGCTGATTCAGTGCAACAACAGGGTAATATGTCTGGCGGCTTTTACGAATCTCCTTCACTTTCTTTCTAGAATCCTTGTATGAACGAAATGCTTTTCGGAACTTGTCTTTGGTCTTTTTGTGCATTTCCAGGATTTCTATAGCTTCATCGTTTTCGGAATCATCTTCATCCTCATGTGCTGCGGCCAGAACTTCATCATCACCTGTTTCACTGGACTCATTTTCGAAATCTACCAATTCCGATGACTCATCATCGTCGGCCAGAAACACTTGTTGTTTGTGACGCTTGGCAGAAACTGCATAGGCATCACGTCTACCAGTCTTTTGAACACGGCGATCATCTTTTGTTTCTTCCAGATCAGAGGCGCGCATGATGCGCTCAACGTCCACAAAACGTGAAGAGCCATTGGTGGCCCGGATGATCTGTGCTCTCTGCTCTCTGGACAAGCCATATTTGCGCATGTACAAATGTCCAAGCACACTTTGGGGAAAAATTGGAGTCGGCTTCAGCTTACCAGGTTCTAAGGTTCCCAGCATATGTTGCATTTTCCGAAGTCCAAGTGCATGATCTTCCTCAAATGTGCCACGTGAATGTGTCTCATGACGACGTTTCGTACCAATTCTCGATCCTGCAATTGATGCTGATGCTTTTGACTTGGCGCCATCTCCATCAACACTACCTTCTGGAGCAGTTGCAGGGTCAGGCTGTGGTGTACCTGATGGTGCGGCTGGTTCTCCAGCAGCTTCTGCAGTAGATGCCCTTACAGGCTCGGCTGATGGTGATCCTAAGGGACCTGATGGAGCACGGGATGGAGCACGGGCTGTTCCATACGATCCAGCACCATCATCTTCATCTTCACTGGTCTCCTCCAAACTACTGGAGGCTGTGCTTTTCAGAGGTTCCTTCTTCCTACGTTTACTTCTCACAACTTCTCTTTCCTGTGCAATCAAGGTCTGCACACGATCCAGCTGAGTTCTGAACCTTGATGAGAATGAAGTGGCACCTTCATGATGGCGTCTCTTCAACTGAAAGAGGAACTCTTCGATGGCTTCATGCAATTCTGTCTCCGGCAGGTATCGGTAGTGATTATCTAAGGCTTTAATCACTTCTAACCATCCTTCAGAGCTACGCAGTTTGTTGATTGGCAAGTGCTCAGTAGCACGCCAAGCCTCACCAGATAGTCGCGACAGCAACCTAGGTCCAGCTAGATGTGCATGCTTGTCTTCCATGCTTGCCACAGCTAACAGCGTTTTCCTTCGGAAATCTCTGTATCCTGACGGCTGACCATTGAATTGCAGGTCTTTGAACGAATCCTTCGAATCCAGGGACATTGCAGGTTGGCAAGGATTGCCAAATGGTGGCCTTAGGCCTCAGGACAAAATGTCCTCACTTCAGGAAGCAAGGTGCTCCCTGCGGTAGCCGGTCCTTTTAGGAACCAGGCTCCGCTACCATGCGGAAGCGGATGTGTGGTTGGAGTTGAATATCAGGATGATATGTTGTAAATAGGGTAAAACCCTCACCAAAAGGCAATACGCTCGCAAGCGTCACTTTTCCATCTCACGCCACAACGATCCAAGCCTAGCAAGGCTTCAAGGGGCCCCTCGGACCATAGATGGCAACGTATGAATGCAATCAGTTGCAAAGACCTGACAAGGCAATGATGTGGAAACATCCAAGGCAACATGCATTTTCTCAATATATATATATATACATGTATGTACATATATATATATAGGTGTATATATATATATACATGTATGTACATACATATATATATATGTTTGATTTCTCGATAGAATGATTTAATATGGTGTCCTGGTAATTCAAACATGGCAATTTGTTGTTCAATCCAGCTGATTCCCAGGTCGATCCCTGGTGCCTGCTTTGGCCATGTCCTGGGCAGACATGGAGGCGTTGCGATGGGGCCGGGTGGTGAACATTTCAGCCGGCTTTTGAAGGTTTCATTCAATGGGACTTTTAAATCACCATGGACCATGGTTAAAAACAAAAACAAAACACACATGGTTACATGGTTCTTTTAGCCGCTCACCATCTTCTTGAAAAAGAATGGCGTTTTTCACCCAAGAAATATGGGGTTTGAGTACCACAAGTGTGGATGCAATTGATAAATCATGATTGATCGGGCACGAAATAGTGGGTTGTTCGTCTAAGTGGTTTCTTGAGGATACAAACCATAATTGTGCCAAATTTCTTGGGATGGGACAATCGGATAGGAGTATTTTTGATTGCTCACTTGGTAGAGTTCCCTGAGTTAATCCCTGTAAAGCAATCCATATAAATATTGAAGGCAAAGTGCCATGACCTCACAAGAGCGTCCATAACCATCCATTTTGGGGTCAATAACTTTTCAAATCCCAAAAGAGAGGTTGCCAGATGCTTCCAATGATGATTGGTTACTGGAGATGATAATATAAAGCACTTCTTCAGGAGATTAAGCACCATGGACTTTGACCACATGTGTGTATATATTATGTATTATATTTTTTCTATGTATGTATATAATTTACATATTATCTGGTATGATACACAATATAATTTATAGTGTTTATTTTTAGTTTTTTAGATAATTATCTATCTAATCTATATACATATATATATATATTGTAGAGCATCCACCATCACCTTCCGTGGCAGGCGGCGGCGTTGGACCCGACCCCCAAGTGTTGCTCGGTTGTGGTGGGGAGCAAGGCTTGAGCAAGCAGGGCCTGGGGATATTACCTATATATATATAATACAAATATAGATATTATGTGTATATATATATATGCATACATACAATGTCAACTGGGTAGCGGCTCCCTTCTCCAAAACCAAGTGCCCCTGGCACCTCTCGCAAAACAGGCGGACACGCCCTTTTGTACCACCAAGCTCAGGCTGTCCACAGCCGTATCCTGACAACCCTATGTCAGTTCCAAGCTACCACCAGCTTGCCAAAACGTAGCCTATGGCGACGACACTCCTCCCGCCCGCCGCTGCATAACAAGGCTCCCTGAGCCAGATGTCTGGTGAAGTTAGAATGGAGAAACCCAATCTGGCAGTCAAGTGATGGTCAACAAGTGGAAGTGCGGAACCCTGCTAAGAAGGAAACTGATCAAATGTGCATATTCACATTCCTCAAAACTTCAAAAGTTTAAATTAAATGCGCATTTGATCGTTTGAGGTTCTGAGCCATTTCATGCGATTTCTGGCGGATGCTCTATTTTTCAAAACTTCATTGGAGTCATGGAGACAATATTTTCCTTGTCTGAGGGTTTCCCTCAAAAAGTTCGCTTCCATAATTTTCGTAAGAGCATCTGCTAATTGGGCTCCGGAATGGACCCAGTGCAACTTTATGCCTTCTGAAAGGATGTCTTTGATCGAACGGGCTAAAAGTTGGGTCCTAAACTCGGAACAATTTGGAATGGCTGTTCGAGTGGTTAAATCATAGAGGCTCTTGCAATCAGTGATGGCTAAATCTTCATTGGTGACCTTGTAAGTTGGAATAGTGATGGCAGGTGGGAGGTTAGTTTCTTTTTCTGGTCGTTGCCATTCAGTTTTTGGGTTCAGTATCCACGCCCAGTATAGTCTGATCCATGTCAGTTGGTCCAAAGCCGTTGACAGAGCTGATGTCTCAGCTGACAAAGTGTTTGTTACGATTCTCTGGATTTTCTTGGTACCCCAGGATAGTGGACTAATGGCACATGATTTGTTGGATGAGATTTCTTTGTGGGTGGCCAAAATGATCAGACCAGCATGTGATTCAGGTTTACTCTTTGAGGCAAACGATGCGTCCGAAAAGGCTATGAATCGCACATCAGGAGTGGCTATCGGTTGGATCTGAATGCAAACATCACTATGCTTCTTCGCATTGTGCAAAACCTTGTTCGCAGTGATCAGTGTTGATACCTTTGCTTGGTTTATCTGTGACTGCAAATGGCTTAAGGCACTGGACAAGTCTGGTCTTGTGTGTACTGCAGCATATTGTAACGATCCTACCAAGCCACGAAGGTGATGGCGCTCTTCTTCGGTCACGGATTCATCTTCCTTTTGACGTCGTTCAGGTTTGATGGAAATTGGGGAAATGTTATTGACATATTTGGATTGGGATAATCGAATGCTATTATCTGGTTGCTGTTGCATGTCAATTCCTGTGAAAGTAAATGACTTTGATTTCTTGGATCCAAACGGATATTTCTGTTCGAGTTTGCTGATTTGTTCATGGAAATATTCATCGCCCCCATGGATTCCGTCATCGACGTGCACTCCCAAGGCTCCGGACAACATCCTTGTTTTGGGTGTCGCAAGACAAACATGCATGGGTCGAATGGACTGGCTGTGAATCCCAATTGAAACAATTCTTCACACAACGTCTGAAACCAAAGAAATGGGGCATCAATTAACCCATAGGCAGACTTATCTAGTTTACAGACTTCGTCTGGTTTCAATTTGAGGGCTTCCGCAAGTTCTGGCACTGGTTCAATGCCCATGACTCTGTCTTTTTGAGTTCGACCTTGGAGAAAAGCAGCACGAATGTCGAATGAGCCAAGGCTCCATCCCTTCGAGGAAATCAGTTGAAGCAGCAGCATTTTTGACTGGCGTCCCAAGGTGGGACTGTCTCGTGGCACCTCTGTTAAGTTGGGGTCTAGATACCCTAAAACCACCAGTCGTGCCTTGGCTTTATGTGTATCCAATTTTGATGCTTTGGCTTGATCTCTGTGTTCACCTCTTTGGGATGTATCTTTTTCTTTCCAAACCAACAACCATCTACACCGCAAAATTTGTTCAGGGGCTAACTTTGATCTGAGAATCTTCGAGACTGTCCCCGTGGTCAGCCAATTCTGTACTTCCGTCTGCTTGGCGGTTTGAAATGCTGCCCTTTCTTCTGGCGAAAGGAGTGACAATTTCACCTCGGTACGTTGCCTTTTTTCTGTTGTAGCCATCAGGATTTCATCGGCAGTGGCATCTTGCGGCAACATGGTCCTATATTGACTCGGCAGGTCTACTTCAAAACGCCAGGCACAGGGTTCTTCCACGGGATCAACTGCAAAAATTTCATCATCACAACAGAGTAAGTGAGAAGCTACCAGTTGGTCGCCCTCTTCATTCTCGGGTATGGGTGTGTCAATATGGATTGTTGACGTGGGATCAGCATGACTTTCATTCTCATTTGAATTTGGTTCGGATTGATTCCCTTCGGGTTCATCATCGGGTTGGTCCTGAGATTGACTGGTGTTGTCTTCGGGGTTATTTTCATTAGGGTTAGCATTTGGAATTGGACTGAGGTTACTTTCGGTTATTGATGGGGGAATTTCTAGGTTGGATACGCTCCTTGGTGGCTGGGTTTGTTTTGACTCTGACTCATCCTCAGGAAGGTTCCTGGCTTCAGCTGAACTCACAGGGCGCACATGCTCTGGTGCTCGACGGTGCAATTTCCCTCCAGCAGTGGCCCATATGGACAGGTTCTTCTCTTGTTGGATGGTCTTCAGGGGCCCAAACCAGTATCCCTTGTTATCTTTTTGGGGTTGCCACATCATAACCCATTCTCCTACCTCATAACCCTGCCTGTCGGGTCGGGTTCTGCGAAGGCAGGCACGCCGGAGTGCCATGTCATTGTCTGCTCGGTGGAACGCCACCCTTGCGCGTTCACGCAACGCAAGATTTTGCCTGAAGGCTATTCCTTGGGCATCTTCTCGGTTGGCACTGGCATGTGCTGATATGTCTTCGGAACTGATGACCGAGCCTGGCAGTTTTGAGCATTTTCCAAATACCAAAACTTCGGGTGCAAAACCGGATCTGATACTGAGGGTGTTTTTGGCATGAGTGCACTGGATTAGGGCTTGTTGAAAATCTCGATAGGTGGTGATGGGAGTCTCGTGGTCAATTTTATTCATCATGTTTTGGAGGATTTGGCCATGTCTCTCACATCTGCCGTTTTGCCAGTGGGCATGTGGTGACGTGATGATCCCCTTTACTTCATGTCTCTGTAGGAAACTTCCGAATTCCTCGCTGGTGAATTCGGTCGCGGCATCCATTATCATGGCATTTGGTGGGCCCGCCCATAGGAACCAGGCATCGGATACCTTGCTAATTACCTGTTCCGCTGAGCGACTGGGCGCAGGAATAGCAACATGATAGTTGGTGGCTTGGTCTAACATGTGGTAAAAATGGAACATCATTCCGTTTTGGGCTGTCCAAGTAATACCATCTAAACCTTGTCATTAAAGTCCAGGGAATCCTTCAGGGAACTTGGTCGGGATATTTTGGGCTTTTGGCATGACGAACATGTGGGACACTCCATGTCAAACACAGCTTGGGATATCTCGGGGCGGCA